AGTCCTAAGCTGCTTCTTCCCCAACTGGGTACCTACTTCTTGTATTCAGTCCTATATACACTTGTGTGCATAGAAATCGGCCCACTGCTTACTGACTATATTGGTCAAATCTGCAAAAATATATTTTGAAAGAAAATCGAAGAAAATTCCATAAAATTAAAACTTTGAGGGCGTCTGACCTTCTTTTTGCAGAGACCTACACATCTGCCGATTTACATTACGTTATCTGTGGCCTTTAAACAGGTAATGTGCAAATTTTCAGCCGGAGGTATGATCGTTTTTTAGCAAATATTTTTTCATTTTCGCAAGGGTTCCGAGCAAAATCCTTGCAGATAGGACTTCCCAATGGACCCCCCAACTACTCCACAAAATTCCAGCCGTAGGTATTATCGTATAGTACCTCCGCGGCCGCCAGATCTTAGTCTATAATTAATCATGAAAACTTTAAACATCAAACACTTGAAAACAAATCAATATGAAGCACTAATACCTACAGTGTAAGTTGCAATTTCAAAGACAATATTAAACAAGTTTGTCGTTGTTGTTAGTTACACATAAATATCATGCATTTGTTTATCGGTTGGGGAATAGTTTCTAAAATAAAAAGTCAAAAGTTAGCAATGGGCCGCTTTCGTTTCAAAATGATCCTTAAGGACCTTAAGTACATTTTTCTTTCAGGTTCTTTCTACAATTTATTATCAAATTACTCTCAATAGATAAAAAAATCACCAAAAAGCAAGTAAGATAAAATTTGCTTGTCGCTTGACGAATAAGGAAATCCAATCGTAATCATCTACTATTTTTCCAACAAAACAAGATCCGTGATTCCGCTCATTGCTATTCCGTCAAAAGTTGTAAATGTACCGCAGGAACCATGATATTTTCTTGCTTCGCCTGCCTCTAGTCTCTGGATGAAGTCCACATCTAAACTCATCCGTAAACATGATATGGTTCATCTCTCAGAGCGAGATGCTCCCGATTTCTCTCCCAATAATACCGCATGATAATAACGCCGGAGTAGCGTTCTTATCAAAATACCTGCCTTGTCCTTCTCCGTTCCAGGATTTAATAAGTATCTTTATTTTATGTCTTTACAGCACTACATTTAATCTCTTACTGTTTTATCACATTATCACGATTATAATTAAATAGTAGGTAAATTATAAAAAGCATCAGTCAGCGGTTTGCCGACTACTCTATGAACAGGGTGTAAGATAACTTCTGCCCGCAGCTTTAACTCCACGGTTAACGGGGTAGTTGAACATGTTCAAGTTCAGTGGTTTTTTCTGCTCTGCGATTCCTATCTTTGGCTTACGCTTACAGGACGGCGCTTCCTGAAGTAGTTAGTGTAATTTAATATGCTGGGGTTGAAATTGGTTGATTTCTATTTCGTTTTCGAGTTCATGATGTGATGACATTGTTCAAGTATTGTTGACATTGTTTACCTATTGTTGACATATTTCACATTGTTGACAAATTGTAGACGTAGATAATTGATAGTTTACGTCTAAAGGAACAACATTATTTTTTCTAGAATAAGAGTATTTTCTTGAAGCTAATTCTAGTGGCATTTACCTAATACCTACCAACATGTTTTTGAATTTTCTGAACTTGACCACAAATCTGTATTCTATAGTTTATAGAATTTTCTCAATTTTATATGTCTTGAAGAAAGCTAGAATTGATACCTAATATTGTAAACATTTGATTTAGGAAATCTTTATTTTAGGCTGGGTCTTCCGCATAAAGTCATTTTCACACTAATATCAAGCCGATTTGATTTAATTTGTATTCTAACAGCTTCTCTTATGGTTAATGTGCTGAATAGTGGAGGTAAATGTCTCGTCCATATTTGAAGCTCATTTTGGTTTTTTTGTAACTCAAAAAAAGTTTCTCGTATTTTTCGCCGTCAAAGGAGTCGAGGTTCCTAAGTTATTGATTTAAATATTGATCCTTACCTATATTATACCTATTTATCCTAGCCCACATTAAACCTTATAATCCTCTTCTGATTCTCTTTGGATGAGGAATGATTCCCTCGAGTATATTTTGACCTCTTTTTTTTTTCATAAGAGTTTATATTTAAATGTAATTTTGCATTTGGGGCATATGTTCTTTAAACTGGATATTATGGCTAATTAATTGTTAAAATAAAAGATTTGAAATGAAGTTTATTTCTTAAATTATTGTATTTGAATCGTGAAAATTGATTAAAGTGTAACCTTTAGAGCTTTACGTTTCCTAATTTAATTGGAATTATGCCGGGGTTATCCGTTATTTCTCTCGCAAATATTTTTTCTCCAAGTCCGAGTGTTGATTGGAGTGCTCTGAAAAAAGGAAACGCTAGTTACCGAATCTGTATCTTTTTCCTAAAGGTCGTCTTAGGTTACTGTATATTTTCGTGGGACTGAGTTTTTGCACTTTGACGTGCTTTATTCATAGAAATAAAGTTGGTGGCTCGCGAGAATTTATCGTCGTGTTTTTGTCCGATACCTATGCTTTTTAAGGTGAGAATTTTTATCGGGTTCAAAGATTCCAATTCCAGGGTTTTCGTGTGTTTCATTATTTTCATTAATAACGTGTTTCATGGAATTGTTTTGAAAGTTTTTTGATAATTTTGGAATTTAATATTTTGTTTTATCGAAATCGTCGGTATGGTCGCTGATATGATCGTTCAATAATATATGTTCAATATATGAAGATCGTTTATTGTGAGCTAAAATAGCGCAAATAATTTTCTGGTTAATCCACGTTTCGCCAAGTTTTGGTTATTTGAAAGTCGAATGTGTTCAGCAAGAGTAAAGTTTGTGGATAATATGAAGAGCAAGATGGATTTGAATTTTGTGTAATTGAAGAAGTTGAAGTTCAATAACCACTGAATTTTTAAATTTGATTCCGTTATTTGTGTGTCTTATGTGTCCCATCTGAAAGATTTCTTTCATACCTACTTGCTGATTTAACAGTCATTTATAAGCTCTGTATTGAATTGTTTAAATTAGGCCAGTCTCATTTTGGTTTTGCTTTTTATTGTTCGATTTATTTAATTCCTCTGTAATTTCTGTGCTCTCATATTGGTTTTTTAAAAATTTTAGTAGGTATTATCTTCTTTGTTGGTGACGTCAAGAAATTTGTCGTATCACTTCGCAGGGTCGCTCCTATATACGTTCTCAAAATATAGATGATATTAAATTGTCGATGTAAGTCCATTATATATTTGGACTGTAATTCTAGGCTTCTTCTTCAAAAATTGCATGTTTCTCTTGAATGGTGATGGTAATACTTCACGCTAAATACCTAGTTTATGGGTGTTTTCAAGATTGGCACTCCCGCAGTCGTTGTTAAATCATATTCCTGGTTTGAGCGAATGGTTGCATCATCATCAGCTAGGATTTTACCTAATTGTATTAATATTTGATCCGTATTATGTATTATTATTTGTATTTGCTTTATCTGAAGCCTGTACAGTGTGGTTACTATATTCGCATACTTTAAGAGGGTCGCTCTCATTACCAGGGTTTTGAATAACTTAATCATCGTGATCTCCTATGTTAAACTTGTGATGTGTGTAATCCAATCCTTGATGAGGCATCGGCATTTTGCTAATTGCCTTTCTTGTGGATGATTTGGTAGTCAAATTCGTGGAGTTTCATTCACTATCTGATTAGTTTTAAAGCGAGATCTTTAATGAAAATAGCAATTGTAATGGCTTATATGGTTGGTTATTATGTTGAATGTACTTTCGAAGAGATATGGTCGAAAATATTTGGAGGCCCAAACTAAACAAATAAACTTTTTTGTGTCAAATAGTTTTGTCTGAATCGTTGAGAGTGCGGGATGTGTACGCGATCGGTAAGTTCTTTACCATACGACATTGGCTAAGTACGCATGCCATGAAAGCTCCATTGCTTGTGTCACAGGATAAACTAACATAATGTTTGCTAAAGTCGCGATATTGTAAGATCGGGTGGCTTGTTAAGACTAATTTCGCATCATTCAGAAGAGTTGACAAATTTTTCATTAGGTTTCATCATCTCTAGGTATTTGATTGAATTTGCTGGCCCAATCAAGAGTTGTGAAATATTGACATTTTCCTAGTTTTATCTGTGATATTGGGTAAGGGATACTTGTCATCTAGGGATTTTAAAGTCAGTTTTGTCTGTGATATTGTTAAAGGATACTTGTCATCTAGGGATTTTAAATTCAATTTTCTGTAATCTATAAGTTCTCGCCACTTTTGAACTCTGGAGGTGCCTAATTTCTTAGATACTACCGTACAAATTGTTGACGACCACGGTTGTCTCAATATGATACTTGAATTTGCTGGCGAGTGTGGCCTCATACATTCGGGGATTTCACAATTCTGTATTTTTTGATATGAGATAATAATTATTTCACCTTTTTTAATAGATGTTGGGATTTGAATTAATAGTTAGTGTCTTGAAGAAATAATTCTACCTACAACCAAGACCTCTTCTGATTGTATGAAAACCAAATTTTATTTCATCGTTATAACGTGTTCCTAATTAAAATGTATATTTTCCTAAAATATGTTTAGGCTATCAATACCAATTAATCCATCAGAAAAAAGCTTGGACAAAGTTGGTTTGATTATGACTTTCAAAGCTATTAAATAGTGGTCTTAAATTCTTGGACTAAGATGCCCGAGATTGTACATTGTAATAATATTTATTTGTGAAATATTTTTTTATGTGGCTGTTGTAGATTATTAGGTGACGAAAGCAGTTATCTAACGTTGCTTGAATCCGTAACAGCCTCGGATAGGGTTTGTGGACGCCTTGGATAAAAGCAAGTTCTGAAAGGAGAAGATAAAGTGTTGAATGCCATTCGGCCTAGAAGCTTTTTTTGTGCTTCTCTCAATTGTAATGACATAAATTACAATTATACTTGGTGTGATTTTTAAAAAAGTTATAACTGTTCCGAGTATCCCTCTTTTGAGTTCGTAATTATGGAAGATTTTCATACTTTATTTACTTTTCTAGGTCTCTTGGACACAATAACACAGACAGCCGATTCGAAAGACTGTCCAGGAGTTTGCGTTCATGCGTTCGCCACAATTTTTTGCTATGACGTATTGGATGACGTCGCCTGTCCATCATCCTCCATGAAATGTTGTATTGAAACTCCAGCTATGAATGACACTCTTTCCAATGTTAGCAGTACATTAAAGTACGAGAGTACAACTCTATATAGCACTACTACTGCTCTCAGTACTATAAGTACCACTACGTTAAGTACCACGACTGTTCCAAGTACTACAAACCAGGTGAAGTAATTGTTTATGAGAAAAAAAGTTGAGAAAATATTATTAATTTGTTCCAGACAGTACTGCAGAAACCAAAAAATTCTACAGAGAGAGATGATGGTAAGTTACGAAACTGTGTGTTATCCGTTATACAGTAAACTTTTCACGGTCCCCTTCCAAAAACTATGGCAAGTACTAGAAGAGTCACCAATCAATTACGGCAATATTAAACAACTGTACGCTCAAGCCAAATCTCGAATAAAGATAGGAAATAACCTGTCGCAAAACTTTCAAGTATTAGAGGGCCTCTGACAAGATAGCTATCTTTCTCTTACTCTATCCGTCGTCCCCACTTTTTTTTTCTCTTGCTATAACATGTTTTATGGCGTTTCCGCCAGTTGTATTTGCCAATGAATCCACCAAGAGTTGTCGTGCATCTTCGATCTTAAAGGTTGTTCTTAGCAAGATAGGTTATAGGTTTATAGGTTTATAGGTTTATTCATACTAAGTTTTATTACATTGGTTGACAATTTGTAGAATGCATAGCTAGGAATACGATGAATTCGAGAATTCAAGAATTGAACCTTTAACTTGTGCCCATACAAGCTCTATTGGATTCAGCTCACAATGGTAGCGAAGTAAAATAATGCCTCGAGCTCTTGTCATCTCATCAATAACAATTTTTTTGAACTTTCACTGATGTTGTCCGGAGCAGAGAACAAATTAATTTTTGACATAAAATTCGCAAAAAATTAGAACACTTTCAATTTTCTCGCTGCCTCGATTTCAAATTTTGCGATGACGCAAAAAATTTTAATCTGACAGATGTCACTTCTCGTGACAGTGGAGTGACCAATGGGAGTGATACCCAATTCACATTTCGTGATTCAAGTACAATCGAATGAACTCTTTCTAGAATGTAACTGCAGTAAGAAGATCTGTCAATGAGATTTAAATAAAGTTATTTATTCGTTTTCCAAAGCAAATATGGATGGAAGCATCTTATTTACGGGTTATTTCGAAAAATATAGTTTAAGCATCTCAAAATAATACCGCTAATCGACCTTTTGTTAAATTTGAATATTTCGCGACTTTGTAAAAAAAAAAATACAATTTTAAGACATAGGTATTGCCCAAAACACGACTTGCTATGTGCTATCTTTGTTGCTCAGCAAAATATCAAGTGGCAAAATCTATATTTTCTAATATTCATATAATATTTTAAAATAGAAACTCATTTTTAGGTGCTAAAGCGTGTGCAGAAAAACGCGGAGTATGTGTTGCCGAGCGTGTAGCTGACTACTGCGAAGCTATTCTTAACATTACCAGTTTGTGTAAGCCTGGACTAAAATGCTGCGTCTCCAGCGACGCATACGGTGATAAACCACCCTCCGAACTAATTTTCCCTAACAAAACCAAAACTAACATTACCAAAGTAGAGACTAGAACTACGCCAAAGAGTACTACACTAACCCCACTGAGTACGACTGCTCAGACGCAAGTTACGACACCACATTTGGTCAAGATGAACCCCACAACGAATCGACCACAAATTTTGAAAGAGTGTAGTGGTGAGTGTGTAACTGGGCTTTTTGCTTTGTTTTGTGATGATGTGGACACTGATGCGGTATGTCCTAATGGAGAAAGCTGCTGTATTACTACTGCGGTAAGTAGGTAGCTATAAGATTTAAAAGTATGTATTTCAATGATTTATATTTTAAAAGCAATTTTGGTTGAATTATTTTTTTTTGCCCGAAACGAAAAATTAGATAAGGATAAAAATACTTGGAATTATAAATACAATAGGAGGTTTGCGGGAAAGGGACAAAGGAAAACAAATTCCTCTGTTTCGAAAAATCGTCAACGTTTCGATTTATTATTAAATATTTTTTTCGATGAGTAAAGGAATTATTGGTGATATAACAGCAAATCATTACAAAACCACGTAACAACTAACAATAGAAAACATGCAACAGACACTCGACATTGACCTAACTTATTGGGACACAAACTTGCTCCACAGTAATTATAAATAGAGAAAAACAAAAAAAAAATGTTTCATATTGGGTCCTCACAATAATTATTATTCTATGTAAATTGTAAGAAATCTAAGATGCACTGAAAAAACAGCTCCCCTTACCTCAAGGTATTCAGTGATTTTGAAATAAATTATCTTATATGAAGAGTTAATCTACTGCACGAGGAAAAATTACTTTGTTCTGAGAATTTGGCGGTTCTTGATATTTTTTAAAATTACTCTTGAATGGCATTTCTTTAAGGTGAAGTTATATTCTCTTATACCAAGAAGAATCTTTTATTGCATAATTGTCAAGGTCCTTGTTATTTAGGCCAAGAATCTTGATTTTTGATGGAATATTCCAAAATCTTATTCAAAATTCAAGTTTCTGCCGATGCTCTTCAACCCAGTTGTGTAGTGCCTAGCAGTTGAGTGTATCGTGCTGCCTGCGACCTGCTCTAACCTGACGTTTAGTTTTTAATTCCGAGGTTCCATAGTTTTTTTTTCAACTTATATCACAATTAGTTATACCCTGTTTCATATGGTGTTGCCTAGAATATCAGTGAGTCAGGAGATCAAAATTATCTTGCAATCCTGTTTGGAAAATAATCGTGATGGCCTAAATACAAGAATTTTTGAAGGCAAACAAGCTGTCCCACTACTCCCATACTTGTTTGAAAAGTTTGAAGGTATATAATGTAAATTTCACAAGTAATATACCTAAATTATGTTTCCAATTCAGCAGTTTTAATTATTTAAATTGTAATGACATAATGACTTTTTAGTTAGTGGGCTAATATTTTATGAAAATTGTTTGAATTATCAGACTAATAAATATTTTCGAAGATAAACAAAATCTGATGTTTCTTTATGACCAATAATCCTACCATCAAATACCTATGGATTCCAGGTAAAAAATTCTCATATTCACTTAAGCACTGATGACCTCTAGTGAAGAAATTGAGATCTTCAGCTAAGTACTTTGGTCTTCAATGGAATCGAATAAATTTCTTGGGACAAGAAAATTGGAAAATTAAGTAGCTTGGGACAAGGAAATTGTGTTGAATACATTGGGATAGTGTTCTTGACACAAGAACTTATTTCTTTCCAGTAAAGTATTCGAACAATCCTATGACAAGACAATATTTAGATTTTTTGAAGAGAATATTCACTTGGCCATATCCAAAGTCGCAATTTCATTGAATAAAGTGCATATTTCTTTGAATCGAGGAATACTTTTTTTCGGTGTGAATGGGGTAATTATAAAAAGACATGCCAAATTTTTGATGGTATTTAAAATTTAATAACCCTCTAAAATTTACTTCGGCATTATCTTTGAAAAAATATTTGATGTCCCAGATAATTTGTTGGGAATATTTTCATCAGCAATGAAATTCTTCTTCCATCTATTTTAGTCTTCAGTAATACAATGCTGGATGCTGCATATAAGCCTGGCCGCTTCCATACTCTTTCATGTCCGTCTGTCCTTTGCTGTTCTCATCTCTTTCTCCCAGTTATTTTCATTATTTCGTCTGTCCATCTCCTTTGCCCTCCTATCCTGGTTTTCTATTTGATTTGGTCTCCATCTCAGAATTCTGTGCCTCTACCTGTCAGCAGTTTGTCGTTACTTATCTCTAATGGCATTGCCCGTTCCATAGATTTTTGATTACCCATAGTTTCGCAGCAAGTCAGCAACCTCAAGGATTATAGATTATAGCCGTGGTGGCCAGTCCGTAGGTGTGTAACGGTAGCTATTATAGACTTTGCGTTCTATGCTAAGAAGTATATTTTGGTCTTCAAAAATAAATGTAGCCTAATTTTCCAGAGGCGGGCCAGGCTACCTTATTTCTACGTGATACTTTCACTATAATATATGTACATATATGTATGTATATGTATGTATATATTCCTTTTCTAATTTTATTGATTATCCAAGATATACATACAGACCTACTGTTTCAATTTGTTTATTTGGTTGCTTTTTTTAAATTCGTCTGCAAAGAGAAAAAAAAAACTCTCATCAGAATTGGCTCAAATGTGGCATAAATATTCTTTGATCGATTATCTACAAACGAAAAATAATTTATGTGTATATGCCTATTTTCCATGGTGACATAATAATGAGATGGTAACGCAAAAAAAAAAATCGGAAAACTAAAATATTCGGATTGTAGAATATCGATCAAAGGAAATTTGAGCGATTTCTGATGTGAGTTTTTTTTTTCTCTTTGAAGACGCATTAAAAAAAAAAACAACCAATCAAAGCAGAGAACTGACAGATTTGAAATCTGAAGTTCTGTCATCAACGCCCTTTGATACCAGAAAAAAGCAGAATAGTGGAAATCTATTTCAGGAAGAGTCAGAAAGTAAAGCTCACACTGAGTTTTTGGAAATCTTTCCTAATCGCCATGGACATGGAGTAACATTCCAACAATTTTATCACGCCCAGTAACTCACTCCGTTGGGTTGTGTCCGAATCCGAAACGGCGAAGAAGTAGTACCTAACTGGATATTTTAGTAAATCCCTGGGAATAGCAGAGAGATATTAATATGTCACCCGGAAGGATCTTTTGGCAGTAGTATGATTTATTGAACATTAGCAAAGTTTTCTCTATGGACGGAAGATAAGTGGAAACAACCATCCAGGAGGTCAAATCGCGCAATTTTACGACTTCCAAAGTAAACATCGCAAAAGAAGAAGTAATGCCAACATGGATAAACTATCACGTTTGACAACTCTCACAAGTTGGCAAAGGCAAAAGGAAAAAGGGGCTGCTGAAAATTCTGGTTGTGTCCAACAGATGAGATACCGAAACTGGACCAAGTGCTAACGAAGACATTTGCAAAGAACACTTCAAAATAGAAGAAAAGGCTAACAAGGAATTTGAAATGGTACGTGGCTGGCTCGAAAATAGAAAACGATCACCTGAAGGTTGAGAAATTTCTAGTCATAACCAAACGGTGAAGGAACTTTAAAGGGTTCCGTTGTGTCTTCGAGATTACCCAATTACTCGTGAATGGGAGAGTCATAATTCAAAATAGTAACAGGCTAGTAAATCAGACCGTTATTCCACAAGCCATGGTAGACAGAGTGTTACGTGAAGTGCACAGTAGTCGGAGTGGTCGTAGTCGATAGGACGTTGGTAGGCCGGTATTACCGGATCAAGTTTTGTACAGATTTCGAAGAATAGCAAAAGATATGACTATGTGCTCGACAAGGCTTGATCTTAACGAGAAATGAAGTTGGTTGTCTGGATGCCAAGGGAGAAAATTGCGGTAGATATCGCAGGTCCTTCAACAGCCGTGGACTAAGTACCTACTTCATAGCAGCTATTGACTATTTTCTAAATTGGCAGAAGTAGTTCGAATACCCAATCAAGAAGCGCTTACAGTTGCTGGAAAACTTCATAGCCAGATACGGGGTATCGATGGAACTTCATACCGATCAGCGGAGGAATTTCGTGTCTAAAGTATGGAAACAACTGATGGAGTTACTGGCAATGACGAGAACCAGAACGACGCTACTTCATCCACAGTTCGACAGAATGGCCGAGAGACCCTATTGGACCATCTCAGCATCAACCCACCAGATATACTTCATCAATGCTGACAAAGCTGTTTACTGAAGAAGAAATGAAGCTTTCCGTAAATCTGACCTTTAGTCGACCACCATCCGATAAAAGCGAAGCTGTGCTTAAAACCGCAGTTTATGTGGCTAATCTCCCTGAGAGACTCAGAGTGGTTCACGATTCCGCCAGAGATAGACGCCGACATAATGAAGATGAGACTCGACAAGCGACAGCTATTGGCAACCATCAATGAAGGCGACGCAGTCTGGTTCTATCAGCTGCAGCGGAGGAATGGAATGAGACCCAAATTACAAATTCCATGGGTAGGACAATACAAGACCATCAAAAAGCTGAACGACTTAGTATACAGGATTCAAATTTCGCCGAAGACCGTGCCAATACTTGTTCGGTATATAAGCGGCGCGAGACACGAACGGAGGAGTTTCGATTGGACGGTAAAGCGATCAGACATAGTGACATAATTTTGCGAACATTTAAGTTCAATTTTAGAAGTTTTGCGTGTTGTAGAAATGCTAGTTTTGTCGTGGTTTACTGTGTTGTCGTGTTGTCTAAAATAAAATGTACTTTAGACTCGTAAAGTAGTCTTACATCTACGAACCCGCTTACACAACACTATCATATACGATGGTTATTTTTGTTTATTTCGTCGGAATTTCGAAAGATAGCCGAATTAATTTTTTCGGTGAAAATGTCGCACAAATCCCTTGTCGTAATAAATTAAATGAAAAATAAATAATAAGTGTGCCATTTTGAAGTTGCCAAAATTATTTTAACTTCTTTGCAAGTTAAGTTTCAAGATTGGCAGATGGGCTCTAAATGACTTGTTGTTTTTGTTGTTCGTTTCACCCTTTTCGAGTCCATACTGTACACTTCAGCCTTGGAGACTTTTTGTTTTCCATTGTATGGACTCTACTTTTTCCCATTCATATTTGGAGACTAGATGGTTGGCGGCAGTGCGGGCGACCTATCGTTCCGTACTTACTACTGCGGTCACCCATCCAATTTTCATTCCGACACCACGTTGCTAGGCCTGCGTAAGGCGACTTGCGTCCTCTATCACCAAGTACCAACGTGCCGGTTCTAAATAACTTTCTTTATCATCCCCCAAACTGATTGCATCGACCTAGCAAACACCCTGTTGCTACCTTGAATTAGGTCATCCGACAAGGACAAACCGATTAACACCAGAAATGTAAAAAAAATACATTTTCAATTTCTCTATTGAAAAAATTGATTATTATAAGGAATTGTCATGAAATTGCCACCATCAATGGCTCAATAATCAATTTAATTCGAAATAGTGTTTGCATATATTTGTAAGTAGGGCGTGAACCAACGTCTAAATACAAAGCAGCAAAAGCAAATTAAAGTGAATTTAATATTGAGAATAGCGTGTTATGACTCACTCAGTCACCAGAGCTGACAAAAGGCTTAAATACCGAAACTAAATACTGATCCATTCCCAAACAAAAGGAATTCATTCAATAGATAGGTACTAAATTAGTTGCTGAAGAAGTACAGGTACCTATTCAGGATTCGGTCTATTAAAGAGATCCTAAATTAGTTTTTCACTAATTTTCGTTTCATATTGTTTCCTATTCAAGTCAAGAAAATAGAATAAAGTTTTAGGCTATCGCGTTGAAACACACTTACCGCCCCAAAACTTAAACAACTATTGACCTGCTTTTATCCACAAAAATTCGAATTTTATCAAATTAATCGTTTTGTCTGCAGCTGATGAAAAACCTAACATTCTTAAATAGTTTAGTACTGTGCTATATAAAAAACTTGAACAGATACTTCTCCTAAGTGATATGATTGAAGTTGGACTCAAAGTTGTCTCCCCAAGATTTACGCCCTTAAGCAATTTTAAATGGGAACATCAGAATAATATTTTATTTCATTTCATAATATTTTTCTGTCTCAACATATCATGTTTTTAAACTCTTTTGAAGTTTAAACCTAAATTTATTTTGAAATATAATTCTTTTTACAATTCGATTGGGATACCATCTAGAATTCTCAAATTCTAGAAGTAAAGAATTCTTGATACTTTTCAACCTTGTTGCGAATTTTTCTCTTGCGAGATCTTTTCGATGAAACTTTTCATAATGAAAACACACTATTATTTACACTACCTACCCTCTACTTTCACTACCTATCCGAGTTGATGCTCGACAGAGCTTGTCGACTTCTTGGCTGACTGAACTTCCTCCCGGACTATTTTGTGGGCCATCTGTCGAATAATAGTTTTTCTGAGAAAAGCTCTAGAAATATATCTTTTAATATGGTTACGTGTGGAATTGTTTTTGTGTACATGCGAAATATTTTACAAGCGGAAGACTGACAATGAGGAAAATTTTACACACATAGAATTAATCTAATAATAATTGCTCCCTAGCCGCTCACCTAATGAATAGGAATTAAATGATTGGGAATCTTCTCATACTCATAACTGCAGTAAAAAAACATCTCAACAATTTTGTTTGGAATTAACTCAATTATTATTGTTTTCCAAGAGAAAATAGTTTATCTTGTAGAGTGGAAACTACTCTCCGGCGGACAATCTACAGACGAAATAAAAATATGATTTCCAAACATTCCCGACATTCCAAGATTTACTTGGCAATTCTTTTTATCTCGAATTTTCAAAGTTCAAACCTAGCAAAGTTTTTAGGAATTTGCTCCGCCCACATTCTAACAGAAAGGGTTATTATTTCATATTATTACACACTGTCAAATATAAATAAACAATTTAAAGTAGGATTTTCTCTTCTTCACTCTCCTGTTACATATTTGATTGAATATAGCACACACAATAACAGCTAGGTGATTAACCCATTTTGGAATCTGTTTCCTGAAGAAACAAAACATGGAATAGGGATTGAAAAATAATTATTATAAATTTTGATAAAGAGAAATAAATTTTAATTTTATACAAAATGCATTCGTGTGTATTATTGAATTAAATGATATATTATTTGTTTTTCAGTTGAGTGAAGAATCCGTCACGTCACGACCCCAAGTTGTGAGAACCACAACACCCCAACCAACTACAAGAGATCCAGGTCCAATTTGTCCTGGTTTTTGTCTTCTAAACATAATGGCAGCTTTTTGCAAAACACCATCTGTTCTTATACCACATACATCCAATTGCAAACGGGGTTCAGTATGTTGTGATAATACTCGAACTAGTACTTTTGCACCTAAGCCCAGACCACATGAACCACATTATCCGACAACTATTTCAACTACAGTAGATCCCAGACCTGATTGCCCTGGTTCGTGTATAGTATCGTACTTAAGTTTCACTTGCTTTAGTAAGTAATTGATTGTGTTATTATTATCATAAATAGGCTAATATTTCAGGAAATGCCGAAATGACTGAAATTTTTAAATGTAGAAAATCAGGCACAAAATGTTGTGCCCCTAAATCTTCAATAAAAGAAGCTTTGGGACAGAAAGATGAAGCACCTCCAAAGGATAACACGACAACTAACCCGTTAACTGCTCCATTTAGTGTTCAATCTGTTACGATACCAACCAGTTAGTCTATAACTTAAAAATTCATATAAAAAATAAAACAAATTTCAACTTTCAGCAACAGACATATCAAAGTCTGCGGTGACAACTCAACGGAATCAACTATACAGCAAATACGTATGTGGCGTGAAGGGCACATCAAGAATGGGTAGGGTAGTGGGTGGAGAAGATGGAGAACAAGGCGAATGGTGTTGGCAAGTTGCTCTGATCAATAGTTTAAATCAATATTTGTGTGGAGCTGCTTTGATCGGTACGCAATGGGTTTTGACTGCTGCACATTGTGTAACAAAGTAAGCGTTATTTATTTATGTAGGTATTATTCAAACAATTTAACATACAAATATTGCTCGATCACAGTGATTGAGGGATTTTTGGTTTTCCTTCATTTTCATGATTGTTGTCACCATTTTCCCCTAGTGCTCGAGTTAACTCGTGCCTTTGAGGACGTCACACCTCCGCAGAATAGCTTATTCGACTTACTCTTGGTAGGATGTCTAAGTTGAGAGTGACCCATTTTAAATGCTTTCAACTTCTGAACCAAACGTGCAAATTTTTTTGATACTCACACAGGGTGAGTAAAACAAGAGTAGGAACGTTTTTCAACATCAAAATTCGGAAGTATTTTAAATAGGATACTCTGTATATCACAACGGTAAAAAAAAAGAGTTGTGTCCAAGGTATCATGTACCAATAAACACTGGTCTTGAAATTTCAAGTTTAAGCTGCAAATAATTAAAATAGAAATAAATCTTTGTCTGATCAGAAATTGATGAGAAAAGTATAAAATTTCTGTATCTAGCCAGAATGTTGACCATTCTGCTCCACATATTTATGGAGTCTAATAATAAGGAAGGAAACGGTTTGTATTTCATGCAAAATTCACATTTATTGAAAATCGGCGTAGTAGAGCGCTTTCGGCTTTCGCCATCATCACTAGGTAATACTTGTCAGGTTCCGACACAGAAAATTGTGAAAGGACAGCGACGACGAGGATAATTTTTTTTTTCAAAAAAATTTCGTTCAAAAAAATGCTGTCAAAAATTTTTAGAAACTTATAGAACCACTAAGAACATTTATACTCGCCTGCTTTTCAATAGTTATTCACCTAACAAATGCGGAAAGTGATACTTGACCGCACGCAACGGCAGTTTGACGATTAAGGGAGGTAGAGGCATCTGTTACGTATAAAATTTTATCTATGAGCATCTACATTTCCAAAAAGGATATTATTGAAATTACTGAAAGAGAAGGGATGTTTGTCTATAAATACCAAAGTCTACTTTACCGCACGCTTGTAGGTAAAATTATTATAGAGCCACTGAAAACATTTAAACTCGCCTACTCTTTTAAAAGCAGGACCCTAATGTTTTATAGCACTTATTGAACCAAAATACAATTGAAATTCTCGATGAGGGAAAGCATTCTCTCGTCTCGTCTCGACGATCTTCCTGATAGTATTTTTGTCGACAAGACGACGACCGATTTTTTTTCGAAAAGTCACAACGAGATACGATAATCTTTCATCTCGACGACATCACTAAATGGCGCAAACCGCAGTAGGCTAGCACGTTTGATTCAAAAGTTATAGGTATTCAAAATGAATCACTCTCGGCTGGGACACCCTGTAAGTAAATCAGATGGAAGTTCGTGTCATCAAAAATTGTAAAAGCATGTAGATTTTATATTTTAGGACAAAATAAAGCTCGCAACTTGCGAAAACTACCTCTGGAACTCCATATTAATTATTAATCCTATGGAATAATAGTTTCATTTAATTTTATGCCTCAATGATTTTGTTCGATAGGTACTGTAAATTTTTTTGCACAGTCAAGTACGAATTTATCACACTAATCGCGTGTTCTCACTTGCAGCAATAAACTGTAACTAAATATTTTCTTCCAGTATTGTCCGTTCTGGAGACGCAATTTACGTAAGAGTAGGAGATCATGATCTAACTAAAAAATATGGTAGTCCTGGAGCTCAAACTTTGAGAGTTGCTACTACTTATATTCATCACAATCACAACAGTCAAACGTTGGATAATGACATAGCTTTGCTAAAGCTACATGGACAAGCGGAGTTGAAAGATGGAGTGTGTCTAGTATGCTTACCAGCTAGAGGAGTTAATCATGCGGCTGGAAAGAGGTGTACTGTGACTGGATATGGGTATATGGGAGAAGGTAAATTTTTTAGTTATGGTAAACTAATAATAATTATAAAAAGTGTGCTTTTACTCATATCAAAGTCAACATTTTACACATTTTCCTTTCCGTTTTCTGATAATCTCCTAAAGGCCATCTCTTACGAGAGCAAAGTAAAGCAAAATCCAAAATCTCTGACTAAAAGTAGACAAAAATTTAATCCCTCTAGGGCTTTTGTCTAATGTTTATTATTTTCATTTTAGCTGGTCCAATTCCCTTAAGAGTAAGAGAAGCCGAGTTGCCCATAGTTAGTGACGCCGAATGCATCCGAAAAGTCAATGCGGTTACTGAAAAAATATTTATTTTGCCGGCGAGCAGCTTTTGTGCAGGCGGAGAGGAAGACAATGATGCATGTCAGGTAATTTTAAACCGTAAAACTCTGTCTTCATTCAACTTTTATTTTTTGGGAGAATTTATTTAACTTCAATTCCTCAAGTGAAATATAGTTGAGCGCATTTCCTTATCGAAAAAATTGGAAACAAACCTAACAAAATAATAATTTACTTATGATAAAGAAAACATGACTATGATGAAAAATAAAATAGTAATAGTAACAGTATGCCAAAAATTGGTATTCCTACTTGAAAGTTAGGTCAATAGATGAAATGATTTTTTCCACATTATCTCAATAACATTGTAAGTAACGAACGAAACTTTGAATTTACACATGCATTAAGACCTACCAGAGTCATAACATTAACAACAACAACATTTTAAGATAGATACTATTTTTTGCTTTACAATTTTTAGATCAATTTTGCCAACAGGTTCAATCTTGAAGGTCGAACCATAATAAATTGAAGTAACATTGGTAGTATTTATTTATTTTTTATTGCCAAGAGTCTTAAACAAATTTGAAGGGAGAAGAACCTACCTCAGCGCTTCTGTCCAGCTCAAACTCCATATCACTGCGTTCCACTCATACGCCATAGCATGATAACTTCAATCATAGCTTGTGTCTTTCTCAAGTCCATGAGCTCTTCTCCAGTACGTGCATTTTTCCAAAATTTGAAACTATTCTGTCTCTCAGCATTCCGTCCTATAGTTTTGACACTCTTCCTGAGCGCTGTTGACAGGCTGTCAAATATTGACCTTCTTTTTGAACGATTGAGTTTTTGGATCGCTCAAACATTATAGTATTTCTAGATGTACCTCTACCAACCTATACAATATTCATCAAATTTTAATATAATGGTATCCAAAGATTTTTGCTCTAAATCAAGTCTTTTAATAACTGTTAGAAACATTACCACTGATAATTCCTCATCTTCAGATTTCAAATAGTTTTAGTTTCCACTACTCAAAATTCAAATCTCTGTTTGAATCTTTTCCATTTACAATCAACTGCTCTCGGATGAGGTTTGCATGACGATTTCATTAATTTAATCAGGTACGCGTCATCAAAAATAAAATCCCGTTCCCAATTATAAATTTGTCATAAACATGCTTTTCCTATCAGAACTGCTCATCCACTGCGACTTTGGCCCCATGTAGATATATATGTATTATGACAATGTATTAGTTGTGATTTGGTTTCAATTCGAACGCAACTTGTCAAAACATGATTTGCAAATTCATTCTCGATTAAAGCCAGGCGCAAACCAGAGCGGTGGCGGTGGCGGGCGCGGTGGCGGTGGCGGTGGCGAACGAATACTGTACATGTAAATAAATCAACGCGTGCATACTGCGGCGAACTGGAAAACGCGCCCGCCGTTCCTGCAGCGTTCTACCGCGGCTCTGCGGCGGTCACATTGCGATCGGCGGTAGAACGCTGCCTGCATCATTTTTCCGCCTAATTCGCGCGATCTGCATCAGTACAGCGAAGTGCAAACATGTCGTGTGATACTGAAAAACTGCGAATGTGCAAGAAAAAAAAAAGAAAACAAGGCTTTTTCTTCCATGTCTTGGGCACTCTTTGCGAACTTTTACAGTCAAAATTGAAGATAAAAATGACAGTCAAGTAGCACCGGTAAAACAAAGATTAATAAAAATGAAAAAAGAACAGAGAGCAGTTCATCAAAATATGCCAGTAGAGCAAGCTCTGCAACCAATCTTAATCCATAAGCGAAAATGAATATACTGAAAGTACTAATATTTGTCGCGGAATAAACGCGTTGGTTTGCGGATATCTAGTTCGCTACGTCACCGCCACCGCTACCGCCACCGCCACCGCTCTGGTTTGCGCCTGGCTTTACAGAGCACAACCTGATAAGAACTTGTCAACTGCTATTATGCGAAACGTATACGGGATTTCAGCTTTCAAACTTCATTCTTCTAGTAGGAGATGTCTTTAGGCACTGCTGCCACCTATTTGACTTACAACTAAACATTTTATAAGGAAGTGGATGAACCAGTTTCAGCTTTAATAATTACGTATTGTGGTTTTTGGTACGAAGTTTACGCATAATTTGGAACGCTGTGTAGTGGGCAAAATCCTTGGGCTCATCATTCATCTGATATTTGATTATTTTTGTTAAATCTCTACCTGCGTTGCTTCCTGCTCGGTTAACTCAGTTTCCCTAATCTTCTTCTATAGCCTATGGCCTTCCACTCCTGAATGTAGGCCTCTTCCTCTTCCAGTGTTTTCCATATCGCTCTAATGAGCAGTTCGTAGCCAGTTTTTCCCCGTTTGCGGTGGGATGTCACCTCGCCATCGCATTTGAGGTCTTCCTTTTTTTCTTTTCGTAATTCTTGGTCGCCAGTGCATTATTTTCTTGGTCCATCTTGAAGCGTCCTGTCTTGTAAGATACTGCAGCTCTTTTGACAACATCCGCTACTTTTATTCTGCTCCGTATCGTCTCGTTTCTGGATCTCTTGGGCTGATTCCCAGCATAGCACCTTCCATCGCTCTCTGAGCTTTTCTTCGTTAGAGTCACCATCTCTAGTCCGTACGATGTAACTGGCAGAATGCAGTTTTCGTAATCTTTACGTTTGAGGTTGATTGGAAAGCCCTAAGATTTAGGTAGGGGTCTACGCAGGTTCTAGATCACAAAAAAGACGGGACAAAGAGACAATAGAAGACATTCCTCCTACCGGGCCACTCAAGATACTACACAGAACCATCCTCCTACGCCCTCTATGTATCCCCCTTCTGCGCTCACAAAACAGACATGGTAAAAGCATCCCTCCACCAATTTTTCTATTATTATCCCCCTAGTCTCATTCTCGACCAATCCCCTTCGCGTGGTTAAAGCTCTCAGCTGCGCAAGCTGTTGCTGCGCCTTGTGAATCAATTTCCACATAAACAACTATTGCGCATCGAGAAAAATCACACTTCTTGAAAGGTTCGTTTGGAGACAGGGCTTGAATGGGTAATTCAATAGAAATTTATCTTACTTACACCAATAGGTACCTGACTGGGAAGGGGAATTGCTTGAGAATGAAACTAGGGGGATAATTACAGGGAAGTTGTTGGAGTGATACTTTACCATGTCTGTTTTGAGAGCGTGGAAGGGCGATACATAGAGTGCACGGTATGAGGATGGTTGTGTGTAGCATCTTGAGTGACCCGGTAGGGGAAATATCTTGCCTTTTTGTTCTTTGTCTCGTCTCTTTCGTGGTCCAGAAACCGCATAAACTGCCTACTGAATTAAGGTCTATCCTAGTCTTCCAAACGTAGCCCAGCTCATCTTGTTCTTCTAGATATTTCGGAGCAGTAGGGTAGATACTCATCGACATGTTCGAGAGACTTACCATCTAAGGCTATACCTGTGTTTTCCGTTGTCATCATTTTGGTTTTGTTCAGGTTCATCTTAAGTCCTAATTGTTTTGGAGCCGACTGTAACTTCTCAAGCATAATTCTTAATCAATTGATATCACGGAGCTGGTTCAGTAGCAGCCCATCTATGTCAGTTTCTATAATATTCACAGGAATATCGCTGGTGACCTCGCTAATGATTTTGGAACTGTCCCACATTCTAATCGTTTTCCTAATGTCGCTTCATTCATCCCTATTTTACTTAGGTATGGTTTTTCACTAACTCCTGCGGCGACCTTACTTTTGATGACTTGTATTGTTCTATATTGAAAAGAATTTTTCTCCCGTTATATACAGTGTCATTAGTTAAGTGTGCAACATATGGGATTTTTTTTTAGTAATAGTACAATCAAAATACAAACAAGGCCAAAAGTTGGTGCATGTCTAATAATTATATTACGTGCACTTAGAATGGTTGCAAGTCAAACAGCATACAGGGTAGCTCAAAAAATATCAAAATTGTAATAATATTTACTTGAATAAAATAAAACTTTTGCACTTTAATGAGAGTTTTTTTAATATGGCTTTTATCATTAGTAATGTTTTAACTTGTTAAAAAAAAAAATTACGACATTTTAAAGTTGTGTTGAAGATCATTGCAACAAACATGAATTTTGTGATTCCATAAAAAATTAAAAATCCAAGTTAATTTTACAAATATGCTTGAATTTGATCAAAGCTATGTAAAATTGATTTGATTTTAATTAATTTTTGAAAGTATTAAGGGCGGAAATAAAAAATAAAAAAAATATAGAAATTATAGATTTTTTCGAAAAAAAAATAAAAAAAATCTTAGGAGGCTATGTTTTGGTACTTAGGCATAACTTTTAATTCCAAACAACTTTTCTCTATAACATTTTGCTGAATTTTCTAAAATAAGGGTACTTTACAGTACAGCTTTGATATTGTTTGAGCTACCCTGTATGCTGTTTGACTTGCAACCATTCTAAGTGCACCTAATATGATTATCAGACATGCACCAACTTTTGGCCATGTTTGTATGTGGGTTGTACTATTACTAAAAAAAATCCCCATATGTTGCACACTTAAAAAATCACACTGTATAGGGTGAGTTACTAGGCGCGCGGTGGTTCATATCTCCTATACTAACGGAGATCGAAAAAAAAAACTAAATACAAAACTTGTAGATAACACGGGTACTACATTCCTAAATTATTTTCCAGTATACAGGGTGGCCCAATAAGTAGTGGTGATACAAAGTTATGTTTTTTTAAATGACTCCCACCTGTATATTATGAAATTTCTGAATTCAGTGGAAAATTCTAGATATATTTCATGTACAATGTCATATACCTATCTTCAACTGTTTCGGAAATATTGACAGTTTAAAATTAACTTTTGCATCATTGACAGACTGTAAAACCTAAACGGTTGATTTCACAGCACCACCCTGTATACTGGAAAATAATTTAGGAATGTAGTAATCATGTTTATTTACAAGTTTTGCATTTAGTTTTTTCTTCGATCTTCGTTAGTATAGGAGATATGGACCACCGCGTGCTGAGTAAGTCACCCTGTATAAGAAATTGTATTTCATATAAGATTAAGTACGTACTCTGCGTGATAGGTGCGAACTAGTGTACAGGTAAATATGTTATTTCAAATAATCTAATATATAAAAATCAATGTTTGTTTGTTTGTTCGTTGCTTATGGACTCGGAAACCGCTGAACTGATCTCCTTGAAATTTGTACCACGTACCCACATAACAAAAATGCATTCCTAGAATGTACTGAGAATGTTCTTTTTTTAGGAGGAATGTGCCTAGAATGTTCGCCAAAACCATTGCGAATGTCCTGAGAATGTTCTGAGAAATGATTGTAGAAATACTGTTTGCAATACCCAAGAACTTCCTGAGAAATCTATTAGGATATTCCTAGAATATACCCATGAGATTCTTAGTACATCCTGAAAAGAATATTCCTGCTTGATGCTAAAAATATGCTTGAAATGTATATTCTCACATTCAAAGAATGTTTCTATGACATTATAGTTATGTTCTCAAAAGAATATTATACCAAAATGCTTGAAATATTCTTAGAATAAATGTGCAGATATCATTCTCAATATGCATTCTAGACATAACATTCTTGTTTGATTCTAGGGACATACTTGGAATGTTAATTTTCGCATCCGCATCCGACCAAATAATGCTCCTCTCAGTCCTTTTATATTAAAAGCAGTGAAAGAGTTGTTGGAAAATTTCTCTGAAAAACACAAGTGTTTAACCAGAGCTCCGGTTTCATTGCGGTAAGCACGCCAACTGAGAGAAACAGTTTCCAAGGGGATTCAAACGCAAGGCAAGATGTAGATCATTAATAGTGCGTGGCTCCCTCTCTTGGAAGTCCTACAAAGCAAAAGAAAAAGAACATACCTATAATATTTTTAGTAGGTTCTAGATAAAGCATTATTGTTTAATTGTTCAATCAAGATTTTTGAGTAGGTACTTTGGTAGGTATATTCTTGATACTTGATAGAGATATTAGCCGAAAGAACATTTTTTAGGGTACATTATAATAATGTTCGTATGACAATATTCAGATAATGTTATATAAAGTACGTTCTTAGCACAATCTTTCAGGTAGGTGCATAGAAGCAACATTCTTAGTACATAAGTAGAACGTTCAAAAATGAATATTTCAATCGAAACAATCTTAGAATATTCATTAAACATTCCTAAAAGAACATTCCAAAAAGCACTTTGAGGGAATATTCTGAGAATATGAATGTTCTTTCACTGTTATGTGGGTAGCCTCTACAGGGTGAAATTAAATTTAAATAAATTTTTGTTTTGTTTTATTCTTCTCACAATAAACGAAATAATTGTTCTGGAAAAGTGACCTTGAAATTTGGAAAAAATTTCGTCTGCGGCGCGTTTTCGGGGGGCGCCCCCTCAACCCCCCCCCCCCCCCCCCCCCCCCCCCGTACCATTTACCACCCCAGACTGATGGTCACGCGTCGCCACTGCAAAATGACCGCCTTCGACTTCCAAACATTTCCTTATTCTTTCCCGGAATGAATTTCGTACTCGTTGTAACATTGGTGGAGTCACCAATAAACATGCAGAACGAATTCTGTTCTTCATGTTCTCTGGAGTCGTAAAAGTCGTAGGAGCAGTAGCCATTACTTTCTCCTTTTATAAATCCTAATAAAAAAAATGAAGGAGGTCCAAACTGAATAGGAACTGATAAAAAATGATTTGAATCTTGCAATTATTAAAAAAAGCTGCATCAGAAAAAATACCATTATTCAAAAATTGGTAATTTTCGCGCATTTTTCTTGAAGCCCAAGTGCAAAAACTCATGCGATTCTCAAAGTCATGACCCTAAAGCTCTTGATGAATTAATGAGGTAAGGATGAAACACTTGTACCTGTGCAGAATTGCCATAAATTATTGTTTGACTTATTCTACCATCTAAAGCAAGCCGCCCAGTACTTGTTTGAGGAGCTATCCCATGAAAGTTATCCCTGTTGCCATCGAAACCCCAATGCACCCCAATGTTTATTTAAGTATGTCACATAAGAATTTTTACGTGTCATTGATAATTGAATTGTGTTTAAAAAGAAAAAGCATGGAAGCGAATTTTAATGTAGAAGTTGATATGTTATTAATTTTGGGAAAGTGCAGAAAAAATTATAGGGAGGCTGCAAGTCTGTGGAGAGACAGGTTTCCGAATATTCCAAAATCTCATATGGCCTTCAAAAGATTGGAAACCAGAAGTCGTATGACTGGTAGTCTAAAAGCCAAACCAAGAGTTAGGACTAGAACTCAAACAAATGAAAATATGGCAGTTGGTGTTTTAGGAGCGGTAGCTATTGATCCTCAAACAAGTACCAGGCGGCTTGCTTTAGATGCTGGAATAAGTCAATCATCAATTATAGCAATTCTGCACAGGCACAAGTATCATCCTTGCACTTGGGTTTCAAGAAAAATGCGCGAAAATGACAATTTTTTGAATAATGTTATTTTTTCTGATGAAGCTTCTTTCAATAATTGTGGCCAGGTAAGATTCAAATTATTATTTACTAGTTCATATTCAGTTTTTGTTGTTTGTCTTTCTGAGGGTGAACAGACACAATATGCATTACTGGGCGGCGAATAATTCTCACTGGATGAGAAGTGTACCAAATCAACATCTCTGGTCTATCAACGTATGGTGTGGTATTTTCGAAGATAGAGTTATTGGCCCGCATTTTTTTCAAGGTCATTTAGATGGACAGGTGTACGAAGTTTTTTTAAGAAATCAGTTACCTAGATTACTGAACCAGAATATTAATCCAGACGGATGGTTTCAGCACAACGGAGCTCCACCCCACTATGCCATACAGGCCCGTAATCGTTTGAATAGATTATTTGGAAATAGGTGGATTGATCGGGGTGGTCCTGGCAACTCGCCTGCTCGTTCGCCAGATTTGACCTCGCTTGATTTTTTTTTATGGGGATTTATTAAGGATAAAGTGATGGCTACTGCTCCTCCTACGACTCCAGAGAACATGAAAAACAGAATTCGTTTTGCATGTTTATTGGTGACTCCAGCAATGTTACAACGAGTACGAAATTCATTCCGGGAAAGAATAAGGAAATGTTTGGAAGTCGAAGGCGGTCATTTTGAACAACTTCTTAGGCATTAGACGATAGATAATTAAAAATTAGGCGATAAGAATTTTTTTTATTGTAGTTACCTTTTTAGTCATAATTCCATATTTAGTTGAACAATTTGAAAAATAATTTGTGAACAGACTCCATTTTGGACGTAGAATCGTATTTCAGAATAAAAAACACATCTTTCCATTTAAAATAAGAAAATGACCCCCCACTCCTCTCAAGAGAGTGATGGGGCAAATGTCAAAATTATCGTAAAATGTGTCCCCCCGTGTACTTATTACGTCACCAAAATGTCAAAAAAAAATTTGCAACTGTTTTTGACATATCGCATTTTAACACTTTAAAAAACTCACCCTGTATATATAGCGGAGTGTTATAGGCTACCTACTTTTCATCCCAAAAAAATGCACAATTCAAGAAATACAAAAATACCTTTTATAGACTACCTACTGCACAAACTGGCGAAAGCATATTTCAATATCGCCATAGTAGTGCAAAATCGGTCTCGACAATATAAACATGTTTGACCATGGCATATTATATCAAATTAAGAATGGTGTATAACGTTAGTGTTGGAAATAAAGGATGTCTTCAAAAATATGCACAATCAACCCTGAACATTTATGATATTGTAAAAAATAAAATATGTTGGCTATCAAATTAAGATGCAATAAACATGTGACGGAATATTATGTGGGAGCAAAGCAAAATAAAATAATTATTTCTAATTTACTAAATTTCAGGGTGACGGTGGAGGACCACTCGTATGTCAAGATGATGGATTTTATGAATTAGCTGGCTTAGTATCGTGGGGCTTCGGATGTGGCAGAGTTGACGTTCCAGGTGTTTACGTCAAGGTATCCTCATTTATCGGCTGGATTAATCAGATTATCAGTGTTAATAATTTGTAATTAACTTCAATTTTACAACAAAATCAATCTGTTCCTAAAGTAGCTAGTTTGAATTGAATACACTATACAACTGATCTGGACTAGGTATATCCTAGATCTCGAATTATTTTTTTTTGATGAACTGGAGTCGATAAAAACAAAAAACTTGAGATTAAATTTCTGTGTATTACTTCGACATTCCGTCTAAGGTAATTTGTTTTCACTAAAAATAAAATTATTAAGGAAAGAATATGTTAGAATATTCTATTGGTTTGTATTGAACATAAATAGATACCACCAAATTAACATCTACCACAATAAAATATACTAACTAGAAAACACGTATGGTGAATCCCTAACATATTCACCTGTCATGTAGATCTGTTCTCACAAGAGTAGAGTATCTGACAGTATGCAAACTCTCAGAAAGCATCGCTCATACATGTTTTCAATGCCGTCGTTCCAAGGTAAATTGGTAACCTAGTTGAGCGATTATTTCTGACAGTTTGCAAACTGTCAGAGACTCTTGTGAGAACGGACCCATAATGTTACATAAATAAATTTAGGGTCACTTACAAAGATTTGTACAGATAATTTGGATCCGACCAAACGTTTGCCAATACAGAAATTTGATTGTTTTTTTCTTTCTCGACCTCAGTCCAACATTTTTGTTTTTTGTGAATTAAACAATCCAGTTTATTGAGTTTATTAGCTTCTTAATTATTATGTCTCATTTTGCTAGCAGGACAGATGCCTTTTTCAAAAGTCTGGCAGTATCCTTATACTACCTATGGGCTAGTAAGAGCTGTAAATATTTTTTAATAGTTTGATAGATTTTATTTTATCGTCCTAAATTGACGGCAGAATAAAATTTCAAAAACAATCATTTTAAACTTTAAATTTCGTTACCAAATAAGAGGGGGGCGATAAGTCTAAATGTTAAAATATATTATAGATAATATGTTCGATTTGAGATAAGCCAACTTATATTACATTAAGAATAATTATAGCTACTAGGTAGTAACTAATATTTAAGAATCAGGGTCGGTGCAACCATTAGGCGAACTAGGTGGTCGCCTAGACCGGCAAATCCTAAGAGGCGGCAAAAGAGGCAAAACTAAACAAAAAAACAGATCAAGATAAAAAATAATTATCCTAATAACATTTTCTCTTAAATTCTACTTGTCTGCATAATATTCAGGATTGCATTTCTTTTGCAAACCCGAACAAAACTTTGTCCCTCTTATGAGCACATACTGAACTGTTTCTGCTACCGCGCTAATAATTTAAAAAAAAAATGAGAATTTGTTCAGGGCCGTTGCTAGGGGTCGAGCGAGCAAGCGGCTGTCTTATATGGGCGACCAAACACATTACTTACCTATTTTATATTATAAAAATATTTTTGGCTCAAAATTAACGTTTTTGGGTGTGGCAACCAAAAGCATTTTTTCGCCTCCGGCGGCGCCTGCCGCGAGCAACTGGCAGAGCAGGTTGGCAATTTTTTGCCAAAGGCAGCCAGGGCTGGGACTCTGTAACAGATAGAGATCGTTATCCCTATCGCTATGGCACTTGCTGTCTTCTTCTCTCTTTTCAAAATCAATAGAGAAGGGACGTCAATAGAGAAAGAGAAAAGTATCTCTATTCGTTACAGAGTCCCAGCCCAGAAGCCTAACGACGGTCCTGAATTTGTTATATACCGTAAGGTGGGGGTACTTGCAACAGTGGCACAACTTGCAACAATATTCTTCGGGTGGAATTTTTGCTTTCCCCCTCCTCTCGCTTGAGTCGCGCGTCAACCGCTAACGTGTTACCGTTTAGTACGGATCAGCAGGTTGAAATGTGAGTAGGTTTAGCGTTGAAAAAATTTAAACACGAAAAATTTGGCGCCATTTTCTGACAGGTCTAGTAAATGCTCTAAATTGTTGCAATATAACTTCTCCTGTGCAGAGCTTATTTACGCTAGGATTTGTATCAAATTTGGATATGATGTGCTTGAATGCTTAGTCTAAAACATTAAATATCTAGTTTTGAGTTAAGTTTGAAGGTTTTCGTAAATAGATTTTTTTTTAAATTGCATGTACAAAAGTGGGTAACTTGCAACATGCCTCGCAAATACAAAAAACAGTTAGGGAGTAGGACCTACCGTAATTATTCCAACGAAACTTTGGAAAATGCATCGAAAACGGATCAGGGATTCGGGAAGCATCGCGAGAATTCGGGATTGACCCATCAACTCTTTCTCGGAAAAGAAGAAACTTGTTTCCCCTTGATCCTGGTAGGCAGCCTGTATTTCCAAAGGAAGAGGAGGAAGCTCATCATACCATGACCAATTTTTGGCCAAAATTGACCAAAATTGGCCAAAATTAGCCAATTTTTTTTTCAATATTTTGTGTTGCAAGTAAGTTAACCCGCGTTCCTAAATACAATTTCTACTGAAAAAAGCCACTTGTTGCAAGTATCCCCTTGCAGGTGTTCAACTTGCAACACCAAGTTTTTTTAAAAAATTTATATCAAATAATAATTATGTTCAAAGTTTTTTGTTAGAAACGGATACTAGACCACAAGACTAAAATTTTGGCACCAATTACCTACGTCAAATTCGACAAAAAAATAAAGAAGGTATCCCGCAAAAGAATTTTGAAAATGTTGCAACTAACCCCACCTTACGGTAGGTACTTATATTTTTTTGATATTCTATAATCTACATATCATTATATTCTGTTGTAGGTCAAGTCTACTTATTATGTACAATCATTAATTAAACTAATTTTTTTTTATTTTCAAATAGTCATCCATATTTTATTTGTATTTTTACTTGAAGGGGCGGCAGACAGAGTTCGTTTGCCTAGGGCGCCAAAGCCGCTTGTGCCGACCCTGTTAAGAATAATCTCACTGTTTCTAGACTTTCTCTGAGAAGTACAAAAAATGTATTAAAGCCCTCTTATGACCTTTAATTTATATCTTTATTTATGTAATTTTAAGTTTACTGTCTACCGAGTATACATACCTAGTTATAGTTTGGCATACTCAGTATCAGCGAGTCTAGGAGAATGCAAAACTGATTCAGGTATATTCTGCTCAAGGGCATGCACCTCATGAAATTAAGGGAATCGCCGCTGCTCTTAACTTTTTGGAGATAAATATAAATTTGTAGGTATGTAGATAATAATAGAAGGAAACTATTAATTATTTTGGATAAATAAGATTTATTTTATTTGTTATGGTATTTACAAAATGTATTATTACAAGTATTATCCCTTTGTCGTACGGTAGGTTCAAGATTTGTCTGAAGATTGCAGCCTACGGACGGAAATCCGTCTGAAAAAGGCACCGTGTGCTGAAACATGTCACGGCATCATATAAATAAAATTTTGGGAATCTATAAACTTTTTTGTTATATTTCAAAATTTGTAATGGATTTCTCTCAATAAATTATCTTCCCCTTTTACTCAATTGTTCGGATAATATGTTATGGCACCCTTGTTTAGAACCGTATTTGATTTCGTCCCAAATACGGCCATATGTATTAAGATATCCTCGAATAGAGAATTCTGTTAAAACAAGATTTGGAGTTTTCCATATGAAACTAGGTAATAAATAAAACAGGTGGAAAAATGGACTGGACTGGATTTATTTAATATGAAAAACAGTAGGTTCCTAATTATAAATAAATAGGCAGAGAATTGGGGGCTAGTAGATACAACCTTACAACCCATCCGTCTCTCCATCTACCTACCTACTGGTGGGTTCCGGCTCTATAAATAATGATAAAATGCAAATGAATTTCTTACATCGGTGAATGTGCGTCACCTAATGGTAAGTCATCATTCCTAATATGGTAGGACAAATTTGTCGCCTATAGGCTCAAAAGGGTTGAATATATTTCGGGATGTTGGTCGTTGTGAGATTGTCAATCTAATAGGCATGATGACAGTAATTGAAAATCACTTAAATTGTGTTTTCACTTGATGAAACTTGACTCATGGAATACGAAACACGCATTTATTTTTTTATTAGGAGCCGGATTGATGATTATTTTGATAAAATAAAACTGCAAAATACGAATGTCCGCCATATTATGTTAAACGCCAATCAGAACGAATGACGTCACTTTTGAGTAAATCAGTTAACAAACGACTGGTTCCGTGATTTTCTTGCGATTTAATTTGCGACACTCAATTTTGTTTATACCGTGTGTTGTTTATACCGAATATTGAATCAAAAGTGAAATAACGCGAGTCATGGAACAAAGATTAAGCAGAAAAGAATCAAGAAATGGTAAAACTTCTATCTAAGTATGATTGTTTTTATATTTTTAGACCTCAAACAAGATACATACTATTTTAAAATCTACGAAGTAAATTAAATACTTGCGTTGAAAGGATTTTCACAAAAATAAAGGTAAGTTCTAGGCAATATTGCTATTGAATCTCGCGTTGCAAGTTTAAGCCACTTGTCCCTTATCGTTTTATTTTGTGGAACCAAGGCAAATAACTTTCCAGGAGTTTTTAATCATGTGTTATCACACTGAGAAACCGCACACCACTTGTACATTTTGGAATTCATATTTAATTACACAAAATATCTAAATTATTCAAATTTTCAATGAGCGTTTAGGTTTTGTTTACTCAAACGTGACGTCACGAATGACGCCATGACACTGAGAAGCGTTTTGGCGCGAATTTTGAATATAAAAACTAAAATGTAATTTTTTCTACTAAAACCTTTATTATCTGCAGAAATATATTATTCATTGTGAATAATATACATTTCCGAACATTATAGGATAGTTTTTCAAAATTTGTCATCATGCCTATTGTCATTAACTGCAATAAGTGCTGAAACGGTTTTTTGCCTTTAAGCCCACTTTGCGGTACCATGCGCGGAAGAAATTAGGTGGCGATTAACCCTCCGTTTGAACACGTTAAGGTTGAAATTCGTTCAGAAAATGAAGTAGGAGGCAGGCAGTTCCAGAGGTGGGCAGTACGCCACCAAAAAGAAGCCCTATATTTAGAGGTCCTCGGGGTAGCCAACATACGGATTGATTTACCACATACGGATGAGATGCCTGTGAAATTCTTGTGATTCTCAAATAACTTGTTCTAGCTGGTAGGAGGCTGGCCAGATCGTCAAAACGTATCCCATGGTAATAGCGATAATATAACAAGTCGGCCAACTCGCGTCTATGTTCGAGAGATTGCAATAAATCGATGAGAATTGGATTATCGATCATTTTTATTGCTCTTCTATGCACTGCATCTAACAGAGCGAACGAATGCTTGGGAGCATCGCTCCAGATGTGGTAACAGTATTCCATGGTCTGATTTGAGCCTTATAAAGGATAAGAAGTTGTTCAGAAGTAAAGAAGTATTTTGCTCGAAACAAAAAACCTATTTTTTGAGATCAGGGGGCGGATTACGAACTCTCGATTAGAACCGAAACCGCCATGGATTTCGAACGCATTCTGATGCATTTGCATGGAGTGCGTTCGAAATCCATGGCGGTTTCGGTTCGAATCGAGAGTTCGTAATCCGCCCCCAGGTTGGGACGTTTTGGCAATCGAAGATACATGGTCATGCCAAGTTGGTCGATGCGATCACCCCAAGAAGAGATACTGAGGGTTTCATAGGAAAGTTCTGTCCCGACATCGTTAAAGGTCAATTCTCACTTGCGCATCATGCATCTGTTTTTCCGTCAATCCGATGATCCGGAAGTATTCCTATTGGTCTAATATTTTGGCGCCAGAATATTGGACCAATAGGAATACTTCCGGATCAGCGGATGTCGACTTTTTTTTATCCTGTATCAGCTATTATTCATCTGGAAAATTAGTGGTTTCCCCAATTTAGATTATTGCTTCATTCAGATCGGCACTCGACAGGCCTATTCTCTACGAACAGCAATTACATACATAGCAACCAGCAACCGAGTTGCAGTCGCTTTTTTAGAATAAAAAACGCGTTTGACGGCGACTTGACAGCGACAATTGCGCAATTCTCTGCGATCGCAAGTCACAGAATAAGCTGGCGGGTTAGCATGTGTTCCTGAAGAATTTAAACTTAACTCTCGAAAGCCCTGCCTTCATGTAGGCTTGTGCCGGCGAATTTTCTAACATCCTCTATTTTCCACTTAAAACTTATTTTTGAAAAAATCAATCAATCACTCGATTTGCGTCAATCAGAATTCCGTTTTCTGATATTACATGGCCCAAGTATTTTACAGTTTTTGCAGCACTGTGACATTTTTCTTTGTTCAGGGTGATTCCTTCCTTATAAAGGTTAGTCAAAACGTTATTTAGAATTTCATCATGCCTTCAGAGTGCTTGCATGAATTTGTTCGAAAGACCATACGATGGAAGTTTGCTGGGGAGACCTTTGTGCTACGCATGATCAAAAGCCTTGGACTGCCTTAGGATGTCCAATGCTCACTGGCGTAGCCAGGGGAGGGGCAAGGGGGCATTTGCCCCCCCCCCAAGACCCTTAAATTTTATGAATAATTCTTCAAAATTGAAATAAACAGTCCCAAAAATAGCGTAAAGAAACCTAAAAAAGGGGCGTGGCACCCAAAAATTTCGCGCCTGCGGTCGCAATAATAGGGCCGCAAGAAACGCTTCCTGCGAATTTGCCCCCGCCAAGACAAAATCCTGGCTACGCCACTGCCAATGCTACAATCAAGATATTGTCCATGTGGGTAACACATCCTTCGATACCTGCTAAAACTTAAACAAAATTTATTCTGAAATACTCGGGCGGACACGAGATTCCAGAAGGGAGCCTTTTAAAGAAAAAACGGCCATACTTTATATGGCGTTATAAAAGTTGGCTCTCTTTACTTAATTTAATTTGGTAAAATCTGCTGGTTGTATCGAGTTTTTCGAAAAATTTTGACCCATTTAACCGAGCTTACGTGTGTTCAACGACGTTTTCGTTTAATTTGGTGTAGTCACAACAAAGACGTACCTACTGAATCGCCCTTGTTAACGCATAATAGGACTCATCCATGTCGTAGGCTCCTCGATTGGCTGAATAATTCCCAATTTTAGCAATCTATCATTTCCATCTTTAATTTAGGCAAAAGTGGTTAAGGGACACTTCAAGGAACACTCTGTACAAAAGGCTTAGCGTCGTGCTTAATTTTAATTGACATTTCTGTAGACATTAGTAGAGAAAGAATTTCGATTTGAAGGCTGACAAGCAATATCAAAATTTATCTCATTTAAGCTTTTTACATTTCTCTTAGAAAAATTTAAAACATTAAACTTTATTTATAGAATTTCTACTCAGTATGGGTTGTCTTAACTTTTTAATCGCATAAACGTCTCACTTCTGGTGACACCCTCATAAGTAAAATGAATTTTCAGCTTACCAACTGTGTCAAGTTTCATCTGCAGCCCCAACTGCATCACACCATTATTTGGCTAGTATATTCGCAAAGCAATTTTTCATAAGAAAAGCAATTTACATCTGCCTCAGTGTCAACAAAGAAAGGAGCTTTTAACTTATGGTCTAAAAGAATATCTATATATCATCTGATCAGTGTAAACCTGCCCTATAAATGACCTGTCACATTTTTTTTTGTCACCCTGTAGGACCTGCTGATCATGATCGTCATCTGAGCTGCCGCTGCCGCTCTCTGGCTTAGGGTTTTCAACTACCCTTATAAACTTCTTTTTCCTACACATAATACTCCAATGTCCCCTTCTGTCGCAAAATCTACACACTGAAGTCTTTGCTGGACATTTTTCGCGGTCCACGCATGTAGGAATGCCGCAGTAACCACATTTCTTCCCTTTTAAATTGTCTCTACCTTCCCTATCTGATTTTTGAGGCTTATTTTTATTTCTTGATTCGTTCCACTTTGACCAATAAGAACTTTTATTAATTGCACCTACAGCCTGATCTTGTCACATAATTTTATTCTGGTTTTCATGAAGTTCAGCAGCCTAACGTACCATCTGAATTGCTTTCTGCAGTGTCAAGGCTTCGTTAAGCTGCATACGTTCACTAACTTTGACATCCGCGATCCCAATAACAATTCTATCTCTAATTAGCTCCTCTTTGAGAGCTGCATAGTTATAATGTTCAGCGAGTCCATGCCAGGTTTGTAATAAAATTTTCAACAGGTTCACCTGGACGTTGGACTCTCAAATTATACTGGTAACGTTCAAAGATGATATTCCTTTTGGGTATAAAATGGTCTTCGAAGATCTTCAAAAGTTTCATTACCTGTTAGTGATTTTTGTAAAAGATTTCTCCGGCTTCACTTCCTATTATGTAGACTAGAACATCGATTTTTCCTCATGTGTCTTCCTCCCATATCCACTCACAGACATGTACCTTTCTAGTCGTTTCCCCCAGTGAGACCAGGTTTGAGGTTGAGAAAAGTTGAACTCAGCTGGCGCACTTACGTTCGCTAAAGTTTCTGTCTCTACCATGTTTTGTGAAGTCGACATGATTTCGAATTATCTATTAACCAATGCACTTTACCGTGTATACGCGTATACCTCACTCTTCCTATGGTCCTTGGGTGCCTTTGCACGTCGCTGCAACCGCTGGCTGGGTTAGGTTGGAGAACGAAAAGTTCGATCACTCTTTACACGTTCAATACGATAAAGCACCGATTGCCACTATATCGTATCATCGTTACCATCACGGCTTGATCTGGGTAGGGTGAATTAAAAGGGCACAACTCGAAACACCAGAAACTATATGACTAGACTCTTGATTTCTACAATTACGCTAGACAATCTTTCTGACTTCTGTCAACGGACCCGTTACCAGTTGCCAGAAAACCCCACCTTAACTACCAAAACCCTCCAGGTGAATGTGAACCTTGGGTTACATACTTTTATGCTCAATAGGATAAATATAAAGCAGATGCCTAACAGCACAATGTCATTAAGTCACATTCAGGGGAGAGGGAAAGGATAAAAACTCCAAAATAATTACAATAGTTTTATTTTATTATAAACAATATTAAAATTGATTATGATAATATTGAATAGATCAAATATTTTCAAAAACTTCTTTTGGGATATTGACAAAAAAAATACAATAGAATTTCAAATAAAATTAATAAAACAATATCTTCATTATAGCTATAAATAAATGCGTCCATACGATTATAATGTAAGAAGATAATAAATGGATTTTATCTTTTCCATAGTCTAAATGTGGAGTAAAATAAAAAGCTTTTTCATAAGAACATAAACTTTGACGCATACCTAGTAGTATTTACAGGCAATTTAACCCCATTTTTTACTTGAAGCTTCATCACAGTAAACCATAAACTTAATAGTACATATTTAATATGAATCAGTGCATAATATATCTCAACATATGATCGCATATTGATATAATAATTATAATTATATAAATTTATAGTCTGAATCTAAAAACATTTTATACGTCCTCAAAAACAACAGGTGTTCTAAGAAATGGAAATACCTAAAAACTAAGCTTCATATATACCTATTAGGAATGTAAAAATATCTTGCTCAACATATTTTGTTGAAGTGTTCTAAGAATAGATAAACAACAGACATCAATATAATAAATATTGAAAAATTACTTCATAAAATCATAATAAATATAAAGTCACATTTCGTATAACAATTAACGTATGGAAAATGGTAACCTAAAACCCTAAGAAATCGCATACCTCAGATATGCCAATCACAAACAAATAAAATTATTGAAGGACAAAAATACAGTTTGTCACTCAAGTATGTTTTAAAAATCACCTCCATGCGACTGGGAGCGCTAATAAATCGTTGTAGTCAAAAATATCTTATTAATGTCCTCACCTCACTAGAAAAAATACCTATGCTGGATTTATAACGACAAAAATAACGTAGGAGTTGAATGTATACACATTCGCCATACGGAGTTTATATCCAAAAGCAATTATAATTTCCATAAAGGACCCCGCACATTTCTTATGGAAAAGTGATCTATGTGGAATTTTGCTGAATTTTTGATATTGTGTATAGGGAGTCGTCCTTAACAAAAGTGATCATTGCGCTAATGTTCAATACCCAACAGTTTTCAAGATATCAATTAAAAACTTTTTTAATATGATACTCTTTAGTATGACGTCACTCACAGCAACGAAAATTATTACTATCCTTTCCACTTTTGACTTTGACTTTACTCTTCTCCTTTTAACAATTAAAGAAAAAAAAAGATAGCGATAGCGATTAGTGACAAATAGGTAGGTATGTAAACAACACCTAGCTCCTGCCGCAATCGTCAACTTCATGTCATGATGTCTGTCATATAGCGATTTCATTTGTACCTTTTGTTGTTTTTTCTTAATTTCCTTTAATGTTAAAAAGAGAAGAGTATAAGTATAGGTAGTCAAAGTCAAAAGTGAAAAGGATAGTTTTAATTTTTGGTGCTGTGAGCATACTGGTGACGTTATACTGAAGAGTATCAAATTAAAAAAGTTTTTAATTGATATCTTGAAAACTGTTGGGTATTGAACATTAGCGCAATGATCACTTTTGTTAAGGACGACTCCCTATACACAATATCAAAAATTCAGCAAAATTCCACATAGATCACTTTTCCATAAGAAATGTGCGGGGTCCTTTGTTGGTTTTACATGTTTTAAAAATATTATGGATTAAATTATTGCATAAATAAAGTACGAGCATAAATAAATACGGATAATGAAGTCGATGTGCCTGCTCGTTTACAGGAAAGTCCTTGTCCCGAACAGTGGAATTTATTCCGTGTGACATTATAGTGGCAGCCTTCAATTTTACCGAGAATTGATAAAAAAGCAGTAATTTAGTTGTGAAAGGAAACATTGCAGTCCCTTGAAGATGACATGTTGCATGCCAATCAGCTCCCAAGGTCTTTTTGTGCTTTGCTCAACATTGAGCTCAGCACAAAAAGTCCAACTTCTTGGTATTATGATATAAATACCTATGATGGTCCAACGACTATCATCGATCAGTTCTCTGACTTCTTTGTCAAGTTTTGATGACAATAAAGTTCAAATTATAGACCACTTGAACATAAATGCATTTTCATACAAATATATTATATGATTAGGTTTTCGATGCTTAGGTATTTGCTATACCTATCTAATATTTTTAGGATGGTATGCATAATACCTTTGAACATCTGCATTTTACTGGTAAGCCTCCAGGCGACTGCCATAATGTGATAAGACCTCATTGTGAGTAAACAAAACTTTGAGCCTAGTTTTTTTCCTGCATGTAGCTATGTATCAAGTATCAACCATTGCAAGAATGAAATTTCACCAGTAACGAAGTTTATTTTTTCTATTTTCATAAACTCTAAACCCAATTTGGAGAACCTAGAATTAAAAAAATAAAAATATTTGAAGAAACCAAAAAACCATTTTCCATAAAAATTGCTACAAAATAACATTATTAAAAACGGTTTTAGATCAGACTACATGTGAATAAAATTTTTAGCAAAAAACTTAGACCCAGGAATCCTTCCCTGGAGGTACGCTGAGTGATGGAGGTTGACTCTGTCCAGGCTGCACGTGATTATCGCCCAAGTGGTTTATACTGGCATTACCTAAGCTTGGTTGTCTGTTACGTTTCTTTTCCATGTTCACTTGTGCATAGAGTGGTTCGGGCTAAAAAAGATTCAAAAGTCTCAAGTCATTTTTTTTTGTAATTTTTAAGAAAATAATATTTTTGTAATACCTATTTCAGTAGATAGATTTATGAATTTTATCAGATTTTAAAATTGAATGCAGCTGTTATAAAAATTGGAGGTACGTGGGTAAATTATGCAAATGTAGAACTTTATAACTATTACTTCTCATCTTTCTAATAGATGTATATTGGAACAGTCGCCCATAAAACATAATACTTTTACAAAATGCATTATATCCCTGATTATAAATTAAATACATCTCTAAGGAATTACAAATTAATGTTCATAAGCCAAAAAGCATGCGATAAAACTTTAAAAAAAGAGGGTGTCGATAATACTGAAATATGGAAATACACAGGATAGGAAGAGAAATTTTCTTCAGAAGGAATGAGAAAGCGTGCTACTAGGATTAAAAAATATAAAACGAAATTTACTACTGTCTCGGCAATGTATCCAAAAAAGCCCAGCTATCCGAAGAAGATATTGTCTTCCTACCCTGACCTAAGCTAAAACAGAAGCTGGCCAGGGCCTTAGAGTTTTAGGGCTACGCAAACCAAAGGCGCTGGGCAGCTCCCGGAGCCTAAGGGCCCATTTACACTAAACACTTAAGGGCAAACTACAGTGCCAGCACGAAATTAACATCAATCAAACGCATGCATCAAATTATAAATAATATAAAATGCATCTATTTATAGAAAATGTATACAGTGTTCACAATAAAGCTTTGCACAAACTGAGTATTCAGAATCACGTTTTTGATCCATATACATAAATCAAGAATAGAATTGAAATACATACATTATGCAAAACCTAGCAATAAATTCATGAATTGGGGATTCTAGGGAAGTTAAGGTATATTAATAATAAATATATCTATTTTGAATATGTCAAAAAATGTATCTTCCTATAGGTTTCTATTTTAAGCGCAAAGGTATTGTAACATGATGAAAGCACAAGACAGACTATTTCTTTATAATGTTTCAAACTAGTTTCTTTGGAAAAATTATTGAAAAAAAACATTGTATTTCAATTTTTCTTTTTTTTTTGAAACAAGGAAATACACTAAAAAAAAACATAGGTAAATTTCACAATAGTTTTATTGCTATACCCACTTTGGAACCATAGAAATGAAGCTCAACTTGGAAAATAAAAGTGGCATGCAGGGTTGTCACGCCTCTTTTTGCTTGCCTAGTTTATTTTTGTCAGTGTTTTTGTTGCAAATAACTTGCGAGTCTAGTTTTCTAAATTTTATTGGAGGTTGGCGAATGCTAAGTAGCCAAATTTTCGCACAGTAGGATGACAGAATGCTATCAAATGGAATTTCTGCATTCAATATCTCAACTTTGTGTGTAAAATAGAAAATGTTGCTATTATGTATTGATGTCACAATTAGCAACCATAAATTTATATATTATACAAAAAAAAGAAACAAATGCATGTAAAGTATGTTTCTTTTTTAAAGGCAAACCCTCATGTCGAAAATTTAGTAACTATGTTGGCAACAAAAGAAATTTGAAAGCATTGACAATTTTTCATGGTATTGCCATGTCATTTTGACTTTTATCTTGAAAAAAAAACAGACTTTACAAGTTTTATTTGACAGCATTATGGACATCCTAATAAATAATCGTAGTTTTGCAGCAGTATTGGACAAAACCAATAAATTATGGTTGCGTTCAGTGAAGGTGCAACTTCCCGCCTATTATAAGATCTCTTGCGCCTTGAAAGTGTTCTTGCAGCATGTAAAAGCAGGTTTAACTAAAGCTTTTTCTATCGGGTTATATGTATAACACATTTTGCCAAATAACAACAGACAGAAAAATTTCAAAATATATTAGGTCTAAAAATAACTTAAATATTCATCTTCTCACTTGTGCAAAACTTTATAGCTACACTGTATTGTTTATTGAAAAGTGGAAATAAAAATATTTAAAATCTTGCATTATAGAAAAAACGCAACAACGAGTCCATTTAAAACGTGTCGGCACAGTAGTCGGCAAAAAGTGCACTGTAAATGTAGCCTTACCTGATGAGCCGCCCTGAGCCTTGGGTAAATCATGGTCCTTGCAGAAGAAATCTTGTTGGAGGGTCAGATTGTAGCGACGGCCTATTTACTTCATATTTTTTGTTGTCTTGAGTAAACATGTCAGTGAAAGGTTTTGTTAGTATAGGAAAAGGGTCTAAACAAAAGGAGGGTCTTGCATCAGCAATGGCTAATATACATTTTATAGTTTTTAGTATGCACTGCTTCAGTTAAATCGTTTCTATAACAAAAGGAATTGCTTTTAAGAATTATTTTGAATCAATAAAATAAACTAACATACTTTAAATAATAATAAATTGCATCAATATATTCGTAGGCATTTTCACAATAATAAATTGTTTTCAATAACAAAGTTCAAAGCTACATGTCCTTTAGAGCTTGTTGTATAGAACAATGTATCCGAATTGCTTGCCAAAAAGTAGTGTAATTTGCATACTGAGGTTAACTTTAATCTATACAACTAAGCATTTGCAGATAGAGCTCGATCAATATAAAAAACACTCTCCGAGGCAGGTCTTGAAATGTTGCCTCATAAAAGACATGCATTGAAAAATCTAAGTGCCCAATGTCACAGCTAACAAGTCCTGTAACAGGAAACAAACGGAATTTTATTAACTCAATTTTAAGTCTCTTTCAGAAAGTCAGATTCAAAACAATGAGAGCTCTGCTTATAAAATAATCTGGCTCCACCCTGATATCTAATATTTTCTTTATGTTTCCTCTCCAGGAGCAGGAGCAGGACGCTAAAGCAAATACCAGAAAAAATAACCAATAATCATACTATAATAACAGAAGTTTTTTTTTCTTTAAAAAAAAAAACACACAACCTGCTGAGTGAGTGCGTTTATATTGATAGCAGCTTTGAAAAAGTAGGCAAGCCAAAAATAAACTAATATCTACCCTATTATCCTCCAGAACTAGCGCACTAGTTTACAGTATAACAAAACATAATAATTTAAGCCTGCACACTTTTTATATACAAAATTTAAAAAAATAATAATATATAGTAGTAAAACCTGCAAAAAACAAACATGTATGAGGCCTTTATGGTCATGGAAAACATGAAGCAAAATCATCAATAGTTTAAGATAGGAAAGAGTTATACAGGGTTTGCTTAACACCTATGCATTTATGTATATCAGTAAAGACACTGTGGAATGCTCTTTGTCCTAAATACTTACTTACTTAATAATCAAACTTATGATGATTTTGATCTTAGATAGCCACAAATCTTAGCATTAAAAACATTTGATGTCGACTCATGAAAACTACAAAGAAGACAAAAATACAAAGGGGATTGTATAATATGTAATTCAACCTTCTGGTAATTTTCCCAAGTCAATGATTTGGGATTTTCTGAGCAAGAAAATAAATATTAATGCAACTAAATTATAAAACGAACAAAAAGTTGAACGAGTTGATTTATATGGCTCATGGGAAGATACAATGAAATTTTTTACAAGTAAAGGTAAAGAGTCTTCAAAAAAAAAAAAACAAAGATTGCTTTGATCACGAAAACGTACGTCACATAATTGTTTATTTATTGGTCAGGATTTTGGACATGACATTTTGACATTAAAGTTTATTGACAAAATTAAAGAAAAATATTGCTAAGACATACATTTAAAAAACCATAGCAATATTTGATTGGCTTTTTTTTTGAAGACCTGATATATTATGTATAATGCATACTCATACATAATCAGGTATAAAAGGTCCACTAGTTGTGTTGAATTAAAGGCTATCGGCTTTCTAGGGTTTACTAGCTCTCTCAGGAAATCAAAGATAACTGAAGGCTGCCTTTTTATTATTAAATAATCAGGTTTAATATTTTCTTATTTCTTACTTAAACATACTTATTAAACAATAGCCTAGGGTATAATATGTCCTATGAAAAGAGCTAAACATTAATGTGTTTTTTTAGCTTTGGTTAGTTATCTATTAGCACCCTAATTTACTATAATAATGGATTATCTCATCTAATTTTAGTTTCTTTTTTGTTTAAATTTGTATGAAATTACCATGATGTAGTCATTGCACCATCCCATTTTTGTGGTTACATTGTGTATAATATTTATATTGAGTAGTACATAATTGTAGGTAATATGTTTTTTAGTGGCATTACAAATATACTCATATAAACGAGGCAGTTAATTTTTTTATTATAGGCCAAGTATAAAATCCATCAGACAATCACTTATGATTAATTTTTTGTGTAAGGTATCTCTATATTTACTTAATGGAGGTGACTATAGAAAAATTATTCAACTGATAAAATAATGAAAAAAAAATATGTTTTTGGGTTGTTTGTAGGTATTCTAAATTTTATCAATAGAAGAGCTAATTTCATTACTTTTCGAGACATTATACATAATTTGTTGTAAGTGTTTCCAGAGATGTGAAAGTTGTCATACTTTGTTCCTATTTACAAGATTGTATGACAAAAGCACTCGGTTCTTAATTGCATGCCTATTTCGAAAATCTCACTTTTCCCAAGTTATATGAAGCCTCAATTCTAGAGTTTAAATTTAAAAACGTTCCAACACATTTAAAACGTGGGTCCAAGGTCAATGCCTTTTGAAAAATATAGAAGTTACTGAAGTGTCGGTGGTTAGAGATCTTTTCATTTACTTGAATAGCAGATTGTCATTTATAGATTATTTTAAGGTAACATTAGGTAGAAAAACTAAAATGCTCGGTTCTATTAAGCCAGGTAGTAGGTTAATTGATCAAGGGAAGTATTCATAACCATTTCCAAGTCCAAATTAATGGGCTGGAGCATTGAACAACATCAGGGAACCTACTCTGTTGTATATGAATATAGCTTTATTAAAAAAAGGAAGGGAATACTTTGATTTATGTCAATATTATCAGGAACTTCATTAAAAAGTCCCGAGTTCTCAAAATGGTTATGGTTACATAGTGTCAAGTGTGTGAAAAACTAGACGATTTGCCTCAGCTGTTGAAACCTTGCTATTACAGCGGCATTGTAGAACTTAAAAAACTCCATACAGAGATACCTTTACACAGGTTCACTAAACCAAGGCTAAAAATTCCATAAATAGCTGTAACAAAAACTGGAATGACAAATTTGTATAATTATTACACTTAAGTTTTATGTGAAATGTACTCGTGTTTATTTCTACACATTCTTGCACACTAAATATGTTATTTTTATATATATATTTACAGGGTGATCCACGACAAAGTGCCCCGATCGATTTCTCGGAAAATAAACTTTGGGAAATTTTGAAAATTTAACAACATAGCAAGGTCGATGAAGGCCATCCGGGTAAAATGTTTTCAAGACTGCGGCACTTCTGGTTATACCGTTTTTATCAACTTGCCTATTTTAAATAGACACCCTACATATTTTTTATTTTTAAATTCTACACAAAATTCCAGACAATATTTTATAAATAATGTCCTATACCTAATAACCGTTTATGACATATTTTTTAGAGTGTCCTATTTAAAATAGGCGAGTCGACATCAAAATTTTCCAAAGTATACTCTCCAAGAAATCGATCAGGCAGTTTGTCGTGGGACACCCCGTATATATACCCAGTGTGTTGCCGCTAAGGACTTACCATCTTGTAAAGTATATATTTCTTGGGATAACTTTATTTTGAGGTTATCATTGGTCAGAATTTGACCAAAAATAAATACTTCACATTGGTAAGTTCGTCACGTTAACACGTATACATATATTGTGTATATACGTCAACTAATCATATATTTAATAATACTAGGCATTGAGCAAGTCTGTGCTTCATTTTTTAGTTAGGTTCACTTCAAAATGGCTTTTTAGTCAAGCAGTCTATAAATATCGCGTAATATATGAATTGACATGGACGCGTGGATTTAGAGAAATGGAGGGGAAAAAAGTTGTTAGTGAGACTGTTTAAGGGGTGCCCTCTTAATGACTTACTGGGGGTGGATTTGAACCAGAAGGATACGATCGTCCCATAATTGGCGCATTTTCTGGATAAGGCATGTCAGCCATTGGTATGTCATCCTGCAAAAAAAAATGTTCAATCAATCAATCAATTCTTTATTGTTTAAAAAGAATATACATTCTTATAACAGTAGGTTCTGCACAATAATAAACTTAATCTAAGTAATGCTACACGTTTAAATATGTAAACCCAAATTTGAAATTGAAAAAGAACAAAAAATAATACTCTATAATAATTCAGGTACGAGGAGAATAGGAAGATAAATTTAAAATCTAAAGAATAGGTCTATTCATTTCTTAAGAACGATCTAAGTTTAAGAATACTAGTAACGGTTTGGAAAATAACCCTCACCAGTTGAGGGTTTAGATTGTCCAAATTATGAGCAAAATTCGGTATATCACCCCAATCTGCCGGCCTAACACTACGATATAAAGGACATTCAAAGAGAACGTGAAGAAATGTTTCAGGCACTCTTAGGTTACAAACCGAACAGAGTTCTTCTTGATTAATTCTATAAGCTATGCCATTCCAGAATATATTGCAGTTATAACTCGAACAAAGTCGTATTTGTGTAATAACTCTGATCATGTAAAAAGCACAGTCAGAATAAAGGTACTTCAACGAATGCTTATTTAAATCAAATTGACTATAAAACAAAGTATACGTAGAATTTCGTGCCACTCGATAGTCGGTCTGCAAACATCTTTCACGAAAATGTTTTAATATCTCTGGTTTACTACGTTTTAAAGAAATGTTATTTAAAGACCACAAGTGGGTTATTCCGATTTCTTGAAACCATCTGTAAAAGTTGTAAGCCCAATTAAACTTAGGGGAGGCATTACCACCAAATAAATTGAGCTGGCGATTTAGACAAATTTTGGGCAACCTGTGATTCTCCATGCCTAATAGTTTAATAAAATAGTTTAGCGTTGACTTGAACACGAAATACGACAGAGGCAGACTGTCTGTTTCAACTCTAATTATGGCATGGGAGGTATTCTTTGGGAGCCTTAAAAGGGACTTAAAGAACGAGGACTGAACCTTCTCCAGGACATCAGCATATCGAGGCCCCCAGACTGGTAAACAATTACTAAACGAGTTCATAACGGAACCAGAAAACAGCTTCTTATTAACAGAAAATGAATTGTATTTTATTTTAGATGTTAGTGACATAACCGCACCTGCCGCTTGACATGCACGTAAAATTGTATTGTCCGTCATTATCCGAAAGCAGTTCGATGGGGTGAACACGACTCCCAAATAGACAAATTTGTTTACCACTTCTAGAGGATCCCCATTAAAAAAGAATTTGAACCCACCTGTATAGGGCAGTCCTGGTCTGTTGAAACACATTATTTTTGATTTGTTTGAATTTATGATAAGATTGTTTTCACTGGCGTATTGCTGAAGTATATTTAGTTTTTTCTGTAAATCAATTTCCGAGTCGCTGAGTAGTATAAGGTCGTCACAATACAGTAGAAGAGTTATATCGTTAGTAGCGTCCATGCTCAACCCCCCCACCCCGCGATCCAGAAAAAACTGGACAATATCGTACAGAAAAATATTAAACAGGGTAGGACTAAGAGTTTCACCCTGCAAGACCCCAGAAGAAATGGGAAAGGGCCTTGTTAATCCCTCGGTTGCTCTTATCTGAACCGTGGCTTTATCGTAAAGGTCTTTTATGGTCATTATGAGATTTGAACTGATTCCTACTTGGTACATTTTGTGCCACAGTAGGTTATGTGAAATCGAGTCAAAAGCTCTGCGGAAATCAATAAAGGCAGCAAACACCCTTCGTCTCTTCAGTCTTAGATGATTTTGTATGACAGTATGAAGTACAAAAACATTGTCAGTGCACCCTCGATTCTTTCTAAAGCCACTCTGACTTTCAGGGATTACATTATAGGTATCTAGCCAGGTCAGAAGCCTATTCAACAAGACTTGAGTAAAAACTTTCAAACAGCAGCTAACCAAAGCGATGGACCTGTAATTATTTGGGTCTTGTTGCTCGCCCTTTTTGTAAAGCATTGAAAAAATTACTTTTGTCCAGGAGTCCGGAACAGTGTGACATTTAATTACATTTGAGAACAAAGTACACAAATACAATAACCAGTTCTGTGGCAGGTTCTTTAAAAACTCGTAGGGGATTTGATCATTGCCAGGAGCTTTATTATTTTTACACGACTGCAAGACAATTTGAAGCTCTTTTAGTTCGACTATTTTATCCAATAGCGGGTCAAAGGTTCCGAAAAAGTTCAGTTCGAGTTTAGCACTGTGATGATAAACACCGGTAAAAAAACCTTCCCACGTTTCAATGCTCAAGTCAGACCTAACCGATAAACCCTTTAATTTTTTTATATTTTCCCAAAAAGACCTTGAGTCGCGCGTATTCCTAAAAGTTTCGGACAATAACTTGTTGTAGTTGCGCTTCTTACATGATAAGAGCCGTTTGTACTCCGCCTTGTGCTCGAAATAAATTGCCCTAAACAGCTGGCTAAAGTTGTTTAGTTTTGCTTCTTTCAAACTTTGACGTACTAGTTTTTTCCTATCTAAACATTGATAGTCGTACCATGGTTTATGGCGAGCTTTTCGCATAGGCATACCAGAGTTGGACCTCGTCACAATCAAATTCGCTGCCGCTGCCGCATTATTCAAGGCTGCGCAGAAATTTGAAAAACAGCCATTAATATCATTATTAGGAATAACTAGTGGTGAGAACTGCAAATGCTGCTGATATGTATTTCGAGCCAAGCGATCGTCCTTCCACTGAAGGGAGCGTGTCGACTGCACGATTGGAGGCGAAATTTGAACATTTCTAATATTGCTTCTAAAAATATTTAACTCGACACAAACCGGGAAATGCGTTGAAGAAAAAATTTCTGAGTTAACCTGCAGGTTCTCAACACAATTTAAACCCTCAGCATTTGATAAAAATAAATCGATTGTACTGTTTCCCCGTGCATTACTGAAAGTGAATTGTGCAGGAGAATCATTTACTGTTCTTCCATTTAATACCGCTAGGTTGTTGATGGTAACGAAGTCCAACAGTAAACGCCCTCTGGTATTAGTTAAGGGATCTAAAGATGTACGGGGATGCAAGAGACGCGAGCCCATCAAAGCTTCCTCATCCAGCGTATTACTACTGCCAATTCGGCTATTAAAATCGCCACAGATGTAAAAAGCCACGTCCGGGCTAGCATCCCTCGCAAAAAAAAATGTTAATTATTAATATAGGTACATAATTGCCATAAATGATACAGGGTGCGACGTTACCAAATGTACGTTTTCCCTAAGTTGGGGAAAATTGTACACAATCTGGCAACACCGCATTGGATGGTCTGTCAGGAATTCCCCAAATACAAATTGTCATCAGTCGGGCTTAAAATAGAAGACATAATCCGTATACCCGTCTGACAAATCAATAAGTCTGTTCGAACACCTGAAAAAACCGTCCTATGAACGGTTTCGAAACCACTCAGTATACGAATTTCAGGTTCTACGCACTAATAATTAAGGGTTTTGCGCAGAATCGTGTACGGTTTCCTGCTGTGTTGGGACAATGCTATTAATTACCATGAAAGTTGTCAGAAGCACATACTCGCAAGTCTGGGAATTTCACGGAATGAGCTTGCAAGTTGCCTTGTAGCAGTGCCAAAAAACAAAGAAAAAAACTACGTCTGAATAAGAACAGATAAAAAAATGAGACTCGACGAACTGCAGCCATCGAATCTCTTCAATGCAGGCGACGCCTTCTAGTTGTATCAACCAGAGCAAAGGAAGTTACTTAGCCCAAAATTACAAGGACTTGGGAAAGATTATATAGTATCCTGAAGAACACCAAAAGCTTGCTGTACAGGATTCAACTTAAGCAGAAAGCTAGGCCAAAAGTCTTATGTAGAAGGGCTCTCCCAACACAAACCCAAGAATACACCGCTTTGGATGTAACCAGGAGAAGCAGTTCAGGGCCCGTATTCTCGTAACCGGGGCACAGCGTTCTCAACAGAACAATTAGTTTTATTCGTCCATATTCTTCTTTCCATAATACTGACAAGGACAGAGTAATCGTAATCTTGAGAACGCTGTTCCCCGGTTACGAGAATACGGGCCAGGCGAGCAGCAGAAGGATGGCAGTGCTGTAAATCATACAGGGTGCAACCATGCGAAATTCACGTTTTCCTTTGCATGAATAGAATAGAATAGAATAGAATAGTGTTATGGTCCTAAATGGATTTCACATCTACATGCGTTACAGTAGTATCATTAAAGAAATTGCATCTTACCCTAAATACTGGACCACGAGGTCCTGGCACAGACCTCTTCATAGTCCTGTCTTCGTATCGAGTACCGCTCTGTGAAGCCATTGGTCTATTGAGGGTGCTGTTCGCGTTATTTGGAGAATTTGGCCCAGCATTTCGTGCGGCTACCGTCTTCGTAACAAAATCCTAAAGAAATAACCATAATATTAATAACAATTTATTGATGGCAACATGGCGCTATAGAGTATCGTGCACGTTGTTCCAAGGAGTCTAACGTTTTTTACCAAATTCTTGTAAAAGTGAAGCTAATTAAATAGTAAAAGTTGTGTATTTGCTTAGTTCTCTGTGTAGTAGAGTGAGTTTTAAAAAAAATTCATCAATTTTTGCGTATATATACTCGATTTTTCGCCATATCATATAGTGTGGTCGATGCACCTGCGCAGTTTCAAAATGTGTTTGTCTAAGGAAGATATCGACAAACTTAAAAACGTTGTAAAATCAATGTTATCCAGCGATTTTTCGGAAGCAGTTGCTGAATCGGTAGCTCAAATTATCAGCGACAAGTATGATAAGACAGTCGAGGTCCAAAACAAACGAATCGACCCTTATTTGGAGGAAAAGAATAAGGAGCTGGAGAACAAAAATGCATCACTGGAGCTTTCATTTAACAGCTGCGAACAATCGTCAAGAAACCAAAACATAAGAATTTTCAATATGCGTACCAAGGACAATGAGAATATTCGTGAGTCTGTGCTGAGCGTATTCAATAAAAATATGAATTTAAATATGAAATTTACGAATTTAAAAAAATGCTACCGTGTCCAAAGTAGAATTCCTGGTGAAAAACCTCCAGCAGTACTCGTTAGGTTTTTTTTTTTTTTTTTTACGGATATGCGCACTCGCAAGGAAATGTCCTATCACGCTCGAGAAGCGGCAGTGACGCCGCGCGAGTGTCCGCCAATTTTCCTTAACTTTCTCTTCATTTTCAAAAAAAGTTACAGCTCAGAAATAAAATTCCGTTTTTTTTAAGCCCACCTATTGTGGGTGTTTTTTTTTCCATCAACTTAAAATTTGTATTTATTTTCTATTGCAAGTAGGTTATAGGTAAGAATGGCTATGTAGTTGAATGTCGCCTATTTGTAAATGTTTGTGACTATTCTTTGTATCTTTGTAAATGTGATGATATTTCCTTTGTCAATTATTATTATTATAATTATTAATATTTTCTTATCATTATAATTATTAAATATTATTGGGAAATCGATAAAAGAAGAATAACACAAAGACAAGTCAAAAAACAAAGGTTTTTTCTTATTTGTAAGAGCCAGTAAACAATAAAGACAATGACATTTCATAGCCGGGAAGCTAGTGACAAGATTAGAGGTCATCATTGGACCAAAAAACTTAGCAATAGATTAAAGCTGCAATTTTAGAATCAAGGATTTAGTCTCTTGACTAGCCACTACACTATTAAGCTGCACACAAATATCAATGACAATGTTGATTTATCAGATTCTACCAAAATACATTTTTCTTTCAATTTCATTTAAATAAGTTTTGCCCAAATACAAACGATTTCACAAACTGAAAAAGTTGGAATGAGCAGATTATGGAAAACTACTTACTTGTTCCTTCCATCCATGTTTTTTATAAACGTCTCTCAGGTCCTGATGTTGCCACATTGTGAACAAAACTTGCCCAGCAAATTTTAGTACCCTGGGTGTATATTTTTGTCGTTGCCTAGTAATGGTCATCAGTCTTTCTACTCCCCCAGCCTCAAGAAGAGATCGTGAAAATTCGGCATTTTTCTTTATCACCTAAGAGAAATATTTTTCCTTTATATAATATCATATTTTATTTATGGTAGGTAAATATTTACCTCATTTAAAGTAGCTAAAACAGCTGCGATCGTATCATCCGAAGTACCCTGATCATGCTGCGGATTTCCAGATGGCAGCTTTTGCACAAGGTCCCTCATTGCATATTTTCCTATAAGTTCCTTATTCCGTTGATCTATCGCTAAATTTCTGAGTGCAGTGGCTACAGCACATACTACCCTATCGACTTCCATACGAAGTAGTTCTACCAAAATAGGTAAGCCCTTTTCTTTGCGAACAGCTGCACGTATTTCTATGCTAGGCTGCCAATAACAAGCTGCTAAATTTTGAAGGGCCCCGGCTGCTGCTTCCAGAGTTTCTGGATTCGAACAGCTTTGTAATAATGCTAAATATGATTGCACAACTTCAGGTTGCCATAGTAACTCCATGCCTTTAACAGGTTCGCCGCCTCTAGATGCTGCATTTGATGCACTTCCGGAATTTGAAGATGAAAAATTGTTATCTTTGTTATCTGATGAGTTGCTTTCTTTCTTCTTTTTGCTGCCTCCAAAACATCCCAAATTTTCACCTTTTGAGTTACTAGCTGCCACTCTACTTTGAGAAGGTAAAGGATTTTTATCATAATTAGGATCTTCAACTTCCTGACATCTATAAGAAAGGTTCCTCAATATGCAAACACAATTTTCCACAATTTTATTGCCTATATTAGATTTTTCTATGGCACAACGCACCACAAATAACAAAGAATCTACTAGGCCTTCACATTCTCTTAATTTTTTTCTGGCATACTCTCCTGCAGAGCTAACATTTCTCAAAACTCCAGAGGCATTTCGGAAAACTGTCGACCAGCAGGTCTCCCCATGGTTGCCTTGAGGATCCCAACCGGAATGCGGAATTATTATAAAGGTAACAATGGTTAAAACACCATCATCGATAATATTTCTTTTGAGATCCTCACAAGATGATAAATTCCATATAACTCCAGTAACAAGTTCTTTGATCTCTGCTTCACTGGATCTTCGAAGCAAATTGATTAAAGCTGGAATTCCACCAGCATTTTTAATAGCTCGTTTATTTTCATCATTCTGACGTCCAAATGATAAATTCCTTAAGGCGCCACAAGCATTTCTGTAAACTTCTATGCCTTCGTGACTTAACAATTTTACCAAGGGAGGAATACCACCAAGAGATCTGGTTTTCTGTTTATTGGGGTCATGCATGTAACACAAATGCTGCAAATAAGCGGCGGCATTAGCTTTAATCACATTGTTTGGATTATTTAGGAATCCTATGACCTCCGGTAAATTGGGATCTCGCCAACGCATGCCCCGTGCATCTTCTTCCCCAACTACACTACCAGGCGAGGAAATGTGTACCCTAAAAAGAAATTTTCAGACTGTAGACTTTATAATGTTTCATTATCACAGAGGTCAACAAAAAAATGATTTAAAATTTGAAATATTGAAGTTTTATAGTCGTTACATTGAGGGTATTTGAGAATATTTTAGAGGGAGACTACAATATATTTTTTTTTTTACTTTTTTACTGATAGGGGCAGGTAGTCATGAAGATTTGCTCCCTTCTACAATATACCGCAACCTATGGGCAGTTATAATTATTGGCAATAGACGTAAAAGTAGGACTGATATTAGTACAGTACAGTTATTGAGCGCAAGCAGGACGATAATGAAAGGAACGTCATGGGCTCATTCTTAAAAATAGTGGATCCCTTATTGCTGCCTCACGAAGCTGCAGATTTTTCAAAGTTTGCATGTAAATACAAAATTCTTACATGAAGTCTGCACAGGTCTGGTTATTCTAAACTAGATTATATGCCTTTATGCAATGCAAACAGCAGTTGTCTTTGTCAAATCCAAAAGCACAAAGATTTGACGAGTTTTAGGCAATGTTTTAAAATTCCCAAATCAGGCATTAGTGTAAGTAACACATGTAAGTTTGGTCATCAATGTCGAGGGGCGTACTTTGATTATTGAGTCATGAACTTCAGAATAGGATAGGGTGTTGTCAAAAGGTTTAACTGTTTCATATATATTTACTTGACCATTTTTTGTTCGATGCAATTTCAAACTCTTTCCAGCAATTATATTGAAATCAATTTTCAAAATATACAAGTTGTTACCTTTCATGAGGCAATCCCACATTATGCCCATGCAATGACATTTTGCTGATGTGCTTCTGGAGGTCCTCTTCCTCAAACATACGCATACTGGGAGCAACTGGCACTGGACCATTCAAACTATCTACATAGGGACGTGACAAAGGAGCGGTACCATAAGGCGAAGGAGAAACATAACCATAAACCACACCAGGATCATCTTGGTATGGGTCTATTCCTATGGGACCTCCAGGTGAAGGCGTTACCCTAAAAATTAATAAAATTGCTACGAATTCTCCTGATTTTACTTGGAACACATTACAAACCTATAATGCTCAGGAAGTTCATCATAACCAGAACCTAAATAAGCAGCGTTGGGTTGGGCAGCCATCGGCAGGGGAGATGGGTCGGCACTATGTTCACTAGGACTTGGTGGTGTCGGAGGCCTTTCAGCCCCTGAAGAGTATCCCATGTAAGTTCCGTAGGGGTTTGGATAATGTTCAAAATCCTTCAAAAAAATATCCTCATTGAAGTTTTAACTTGTCTATAGGATTGAGTACAGGATATTTCACTTACAGTTAAGTTGGTGCAAGCAAAGTAAGCATTTTGGTCCAATACAACTAAGAGGGTGATACAAAAAAAATTATTTGTAGTTATTCCAAGTGAATAACCCACATTGGTGAAATTCCACGTTTCAAGTTAAATTAAAAAAATTACATTTTTTCAATGCAAACAAAATATGTTTTGTTTGTTATACAGGGTATCCCACCGGGAAATAAATCGATCTATACAATGAAAAACTGTATGCAGAAAATTTTGTGTCAATGGGGGCAATCCGGCTAAAATATTTTCAAGATGTGGGCACTATACCGGAAGTCCACGTCAACTTGCGTATTTTAAAAGAAACACCCTGTATGTGATTGCATATTTGGATTCTACGTAAAATTCTGAGCAAATTTCATGTGATATACCCTATACCTAATTTGAACTATTTTGGAAATATTGACAGTTGGAAATATTGACAGTTGAAAATTGAGTTCTTGCAACTTTGACAGGCTGTAAAACCTAAACGGTTAATTTTCCAGCAAAACCGATTTTACATTCACGTCTGTAGCTTTTCATAAGCTATCATTTGACACCAACTTTGAATTTCACCAGAGATTAAATTTAACCGGAATTTTCAATCATGGATCAAATTCAAAGGTGGTGTTAAATGATACTTTATGAAAAACGAAGACAAAAATATACGACCGGTTTTGCTGTAAAATCAACAATTTAGGTTTTACAGTCTGTCAAAGATGCAAAAAAAAGTCAATTTTCAACTGTCAATACTTCCAAAACATTTGAAGATAAGTATACGACATTGTACATGAAATATGTCTAGAATTTTCCGCAGAATCCAGAAATGTGTTAATATACAAGGGGTACCATTAAAAAAAAATAAAGTTGATAACGGTAAAGCTGTTTTTCGAACACCCTGTATAAAAAAAGGCCCCCATTTATTTATTATCGAATTTATTCCATTTGGCTGATACACTCTGTATATTATCATCAGTACAGCATACACAGCAGCAGACTGATGTAAAGACTAAGATGTAAGACTCTTGAATAATCATGGGAAGTTTATAACCATGACCTAGGGTTATAGTATATCATGGACCAGCACAGATTTCGTGGCCGATAGATGACCAATGGACGCATTTGTCGTATAAGCTGTTATTCAATTGTTATTACCAAATCAACTGCTATAAAATATTGTTACTATAAATACAGAAATAATAATGGAATGGTTTTTGTTTACTATGTTTACCAATTGTTACCAGGGCTTTAAGCAATTATGTCAGTCCCCATGGAAAAACAGAATATATAAGTAAAATTCCTACAGATACGAATTCAGGAGGCCAATATGCGCCTAGAACACAACACAGTGGTTAGCTATTTTGACCTACATTTACTTAAAGACATTTTTGTAGAGCTAAAAAAAAAATGAGGACCAACAATGCATGAATCAGGAGGTTGACTAAACCTCAAAAATTTTGTTTTGCGTTTACTAAGTAGCGGTAAATCGATAAGGTAAAACGCTTTCTACAAACACTATCCGTTTCGGTATTCATATACAAGGTGCATTTTTTTATTTTTATTTAAAGTTCTCTTGCTAGCAGGTGAAAATATTAATTTATAAATGTCTGGTATCAAAATTGTCAAGATAGGTGATTCAATGTTGAATGTTCAAGAATGACTTATTAATTTGGATACCTTTAAGCTAATTTTTGGTTCAACTGCATAGGACTGCTACAGGTTTGGTGCAATGGAACAAAATGCCCACTTTTGTGGCCTCAATATACATATTTTACCTTCATCCATAGCAGAATAATAATACACACTGTCATCACTTATGTATCTTTATGTACTCATCATCATATGGGTAATTTTAAATTTTCTTATTTAGTTTACGCAAATTTAGGGTTCATGCGCCGTTTTTGTATTAAAATAGTGATATGACCTTGAAGATTTTTTTCATTTATTGGTCAAATTTAACCAGATTTTAGTTTAGTATGTTATAGATCTGGCCTTTCTGATCAATAAGTACCATGGGCAACTCAATCCTATGACTGGTTTTTGAGATGCAGGATTTTCAATGTCTGAATGTCTAATATGCACCTGGAACACATTTTCGATAAATATTACTACTTTTAGAATTATTAATATATTAATAACTTTATTATTAATTATATACAGGCTGTACCAAACATGGACCAGGTAAAAATGCAGGAGGATTATAACTAAAAATAAGAATAGAATACCTATACCTACTATTTACATTTGTTCAGAAAAAAATTTAAAATATCTAAAAAAAAAAAAAAAAAACGACTATTTGAGTATGCCATGTCTGTTTGTAGCATGTCTAGAACTTTGCTATTAGGTAATCTTATGACCGCTTCAAGCATTGTATGTATGTCCCAAAAACCAAATCACAGCTGCGAAATGTGCACATGTTATATTTATCGCGTGTCATAATGCAGATTGGACATTCACACATTAAACACCTTTTATCTGAAAAACTAGTCATAGAAATCATAGGATTGAGTTGGGCCCATGGTAGTTATTGATCAGAAAAGTCAGATCCGAGGTCAGATCTATAACCTACTAATATGACTGTAGTCAGAAATCTATAAAAAGTGTGCGTGGTCGGAAATAACCAAACTTTCTGTATTTTTTATTGAAAATATGTTTGGATCAATAAAAAAAGTCCTCAGCGTCATTTTGCACTCTTTTCAGAGCAAAAGCTGTTCAAAAACTCTAAATTTGTGTCAGCAAAATAATGAAAAAAGTCCCATATTATATATGATGCAGACTTTAATGCTGGTGGTATAATGTAAATTAAACATAATTATTTATTTCATATATTATAATTGCTAAATTTACCTGATAATGGGGATGTTGATGATACTGTGAATACATGTGGTGAGGTGGTTGGTCAATATAATCAGCGTAATGAGAACTATGCGGGTAAGACCCAAGAGGCACAGGAATATACTCTCCCGATTGCTCTCCAATCTGTTGAACTTCCCGCACAACCTTGGTGACGGTTGTCACTTGCTGTGTAGTTTGTTGCTTTTGTGTTCGTACTAATGGTTCGTCACTATGGACAGACATGTGACTGGAATTTGGGGAATGTTCCGAATGGCCGTTACTATGCGCATGGTATGCGGCTTCGTTTAGAGTGGACACATCTGGATTCCTATTTTAGAATATTACATTAGAAATTTGTTACTTTCAATGTCCCCTGCTACCATGAACTATTGCAAATTACTGATAAGTATAATTAATAATCATGGTAACCTAATGAGGCTCTCGAAGCAAAATAAAAATATAAACATGTATGGAACTTTTTCTATTCGTGCAATACTTACTTATAGTGCTGCATATCTGGACCCTGTTCTTGTAAGACCCTCCTAAAACAACAAAAAATAAATAAAACTAATACTTACATATTTCCTGATAAGACGTTAAAAACTCACCAAGAATTATGTAATGTATGTACTTGCAAACCTAAACTTGATAGGCCGAAAAACATTATTGAAAAATCTAAAGTTAGCATAAGTACCTGTATATTGAAATTGAAGGGAGAAAAAACTTTGCTAATGGATAACAAGTAGGTTAAGTAGGTACCATATTTCAAGTTTCTGATGCATAAACAGAGAAAAAACATTTTACATAAGTCTGGCATAATTTTAATTAAAACTAAAAAAAAAATGTGTGATAAATATGTGAATATAAAAATTATTGTAGTAGTTCGATTGAACAGAATATCCTACCTTTGTGTTATTTCAGTATGGCTGATAGTTCTCTCCTGCCTTTGCTCCACCCTTCTGTTAACCAAGCTGCCAAATAGCAAAGCACAAAAATATTTAGCCAAGCCCCAATGTAAAGAGAATAAAAATGTTGAATATATGTATTTTCAATTTGCAACACACATGCTGTACTTACATCAATGAATATTGTATTATAATGGATAATGATTACCAGAAAAATAAATTTTAAAATTATTTGAAGAAATCTAGAAACTTTTTTGTTTCCGTTCAAAATTTGTAATGGATTTCCATCTAGTATCGGCTAAATCAAACTCTCTTATAATTTTTTAAAGTTGTTCATGTGTAAATCACATAGATAATAATTAAAATGTGTGATATTAAAAGCTGTAAGCTAATTGGAGCAAATTCATACAATATTAAACAATTGTGTTAGGTAAACAAAACAAAGTTAAGACAAATTAGTAAAGGATTTGAACGATCTACCTTCTCCTTCATAAAATCATTTACAAAGCCCGAATAAATTAGTAAAGAAATATTAATATTACTTTTGATTAGAATTGACTATGAATACTCACACCCTCGCAAAAAGTATAGCAAAACATTAATATCTAGGTATATTGTTTCAGGAATAGAAGAAGAATATACTCACATAGAATTGAAATTTAAACAGTCAATATAAAGAGCGCCATACTTTTTGTGAGAGTTCTGTGGAATAAATCCACATAACCAAGCTTAGAGCAGTGGTGTCTAATATTTTATGTGAAGCTACTTATATTTAGGTACTAATTACGTGATTAGTCACCACTGAACTAAAAGCAAATAACCATTTTTAGAAAATTACTTACATACAAGAATCCAAAAGTTGACTAGCTGACATTTTTGAAGCTGTGTGTTTGTGTGTTAAAGTTAAATTTTCCCTGTGGCAACATGCAAAAATGATTTAGTAGTGAATAAACAAATAATATGTTGAAAACAAATTGATACATTTCGTATTTAAATTAAAAGTATGAGTTAAAATGCTTATGATGAGGTAGTCTTATGAAAATAAGTAAACCAAAATGCATCAAAATGGTAGTCTAAACAGCATGAATTATTTTTAAAAAAATTTGTGTTTTTTACTTACTTGGAATGTAATACCTATAGGTCAGTCTCTACATAAAACCTTGTATGTTTGTTTGGTAATGCTTTGCCACATTGGTAAAGGGATTTCTGAAAAGAAAATTTCATCTTAATTGGGTACTTACAAAGAATGCAATTTACACTAATGCTATATTTTAACTTCCTTCGCATACTGTGAATTAATGGGAGTTAAGCCAGAAATTAAAATATCTTCAATATTTGTCAGAGGTTTTTATCCTAATAAGATATTTAGTCACTGAATCTAGATGAGTAACCACTAACAAGCTGATAAATTGTACTTTTCATTCTTACAGCAGTTGTTTTGACTAAATTTAAGGAAACTTGTATGATAAATGTATATCCTTGAAATTATAAACTAAATGTTAGTACCTAATTAATTGCTAAGTTTTTATTGATGACCTGACCTGAATTAACTGATTGAACTTTATGAATCCATTGTCACCAACGACAATCATTAGGTTTTTTTTTTCTTAATAATTATGACTCAAGTCACATTCATACTCACTTTAAACAAAAAAGTTAATTTTATTTTGCCTGGAGATTTTAGGCAATGATACAAGAAGAGATGTTTAAAAAACGTGTCTAGAATGTACTTGTAGGTAAGTAAGTAATAATGGTATGACCCATGATATATGTAATTATTTTATTCTGAGATATCTCTTCGAGAATTGCCACATTTCCAAACAGAAGGCCATTATTCCAATTAGCTTAGAATTAAATTTCAATGGAATGTCCCAATGGGAAGTCTTATTAGGAAACCTTCAAAGATAATGTGAATTATTGTTTGAAAGGAAATAATACCTATTTCAAAAAAGGGAAATCCTGGAGATACACCCAAAAACTGTACAGATAATTTGCTATAAAATGCTACTGAAAAATTTCTTGATCTGAACTGCATATAGGCATTCTGTCTGAAGTATTCAGGACTAAGAGAAGTTCATTCAAAATGTGATCTAGAATTTTTGGGTAGGTACACATTTTGTTCAAAGATGGACTCACAAAAATAGGTAACTAAGTATACAAAATTTTGGAATTACGAATTACTAATAATTAGTGTAGTAACACTGTTTTCAGCTAGACTCGTACCATAATTTACTTTAAAAGGATATAACACTCATTAAAACCAAGGCAATTTTAATAAAAATGATGGTTTTATGAAATTTGTTAGGAGCAGCTTCTACCATGAAGGTAAAACTTGTACCCTTTAGTCGACAAAAACAATTGTGAGAAGAGAAGATTAATTTTAGATGTAAATAAGGTTTAACAATAATAGTATATAGGTCACCACTCGGGTCAGCATCTACAAACGAAAATAACTTTATTAGTGACATAGGTACCTCCTTAAACCATATAAGTGAGAAAAATATTTCAGAAGTTCTCAGTAATATTAGCCAATTTTAAGCGATTGACCAGTCGGTCATCTTGACAGATAAGCAATGCATTTACCGTCAGTTAAGACCAATTGGTTAACAAGTGACGCTTAATTAATGGTCAAGATGACCGATCGGTCAATCGCTTAAAATTTGCAATTAAATTTAATCTAAGATCCTCAAGTTGTAATGAATTATTCAATGTTAACTTCAAATGGTTTTAGATCTTACATAAACAATATTACTAGGGAAAAAAATTATTTGGATCATATGTTCGTCGAGATGAATCCTAAATTGAATGCTATGTCAATGCTGTCATATATCATAAGGACTGGCATCACGGATAACTATCAAGTTCCAGTTCCATTAAATATTATAACAAGCAAACATATGACCTGATAGAGATGAGAATATAATACCCTGAAATTAACAGATATTAACTGGGGCTGGTGAATGATTTCTTTGGAGTTGGAAATTTGACTGAGGTATTAAATGCTAATGAAGCAGAGCTTAGCTTTCAAAGATTAATCGACATTTTACAAAATTATGTATCACAGGCTAAAACTATGAAAAAACTTTTAGCACAAGGTTAACCATACTGTGAAAATTTGAATCCTTTGGTTTTTATTCAAACCCTATATTTTATACCTAAAGTCTAACTTGTCGGGCAGATGTCAGTGTGTGAAGTTTAACAATGCCATATCAAATAGATTTGTTGCTACCTCTGGTCACCCTCAGGCTCGCCCTCAGGGCTCTAGCTAGGGTCCGCTTCTGTTTGTCTTATTTATCAATGATATAGCTAGATGTGTTGAATACTCACAATTTTTACTCTATGCAGATGATTTAAAAATGTATAGTTCAGTTCAAAATGAAACAGACTATCAACTCTTACAAAGAGATCTGAATGCTATTGTATCATAGGTACTGTGTCAACAATGACTTAAAATTAAATATTAGTAAATGTAAATATTTAAGCATTTTTCGAAATAAGACTCCTATTCCAACACAATACAAGACTCGATACAAGATTAATGATACAGCGTTGGACAGGGTTCAAGAGATATCTGATCTAGGAATACTGTTCTCTGAGGGTTTTTCGTTTGGAGGAAACATTGATACTTTGTATGCAGATGGGAAGTGGAAGCTAGGTTTCGTACTGCGCCCCTGTGCAGACTTCAAAAACAAAAAGATTTACACACTATTTTTTAATGCATATGTAAGATCAAAACTGGAATATGCCAGCATAATATGGACACCTACAACAATGTATCACCGAGACGCGCAAAAGAATCCAAAAAAAGTTTCTGAGGTTTATGTTTTTTGAAACATGGATATTATCCTTGTTGTCCTCATCTCGTATCAATCCCAACTTGATGAATTTGGTATTGTGGAACTTGAGAGGCGTAGAGAGTTTAATGATGTGTTGTTGATATTTAATATAGTCAGCCAAAGGGTAAAACATGCTACTGTACCTGACTTACTTCATAAGATATGTTTTATTGTTCCAGATATAAGGCTGAGACCAAGAAATAATATTTTCAGGATTTCTAACTCTTACTCTGTTTCTATTATGAATAGATTTTTGCATGCTGTCAATGTGTTTGTTAAGGAAACCCCTGATTTTGATATTTTTGTTGATGGAAGGGAAAAACTATTGATGTGTTTTTTTAAGTAGGTTTATTTTTTGTGTTCACTGCAAGGGCTCACTGTGCATAAGTAAAATTAATAACTCAAAATTATTATAAGTATTTTCATTTAACATTATGTTTTAGTTTTATGCATAAGACTATTAAAAACCAAGACAAATCAGTGAACTATCTGTGCCTATAATTTGATACCTGATGCATCTAATAAAGAACCATAAAATTTAAACAGTATTCAAAACAAGCAAAAGGTGAGAGAATAGAATAGGATCTTTTCTTGTGACTGTCATGAAAAATTTGACATGTTTTTTTTTTGCTTTTCGTTTTTGCCTTGCATTGGGAGCATAAGTACCTAGTTAGTTTTAGGTTGTTACTGTTTTTTTTTCTGCAAAAGAAACAAGGAAGGTAACCTATAAGCATATTTTGAATAGCACTAGGTAAATCTATTAAATCAAACTAAGCACATACATGTTAAGTCATCTAGGTGCTTCATTTATTTATAAATGTAATAATAATAAGTACCTATTGTAATTCTTTGGAAATAGATTTGGATTTGAGTAACCTCGATTGTGAGGTTGAAATAAATCTATGTAGGCATCCTTTTTTCAAAAAAATTATACCATAATATGCTCAATAATATGTTTAGGATACAAATCTTTTTGAAGGCAGACACATAGGCCCTTAACTATTATTTTGATAATGCAAGTGATCAGATCAGAAAACATGATTGTATATACAAATATACATAAGCTCTCAGCCAGGGTTAAAGAACTTGGTTGAGAACTCAAGTGATAATTGCACCTTGCACCAATACTTCTGTACAGTTTAATTGGTGAATATAGATATCGAATTAAAGAGGATGTTTAATTTTATGTTAAATTCAGTCTTTTCTATTTAAGCATGAAAACTATTCAAATCAATAAATCAACACATAAAAATGACTTCTAACTTTCTAAAAAAAATTATAATATACTTGTAACTTGAAATAAACTCGTAGGTACGTACCGAGGTACCTACCTTAGGTGTATCCCAAGTGAGTGCTTGAATATCACCATTGTATATATCACTTAAAGCTAGGGTGTAAAAAATCAAATCTATTTAGAATCCGTATTAAAGAACTATTTAACAGCATTGTAAGCATTATTATGGCTTTTAAGGGAAACATAAAACTAATACCTAGGTAGGGCTAAATAACAAACTAACTAAACTAAACAAACACGATTTCCACTGCCCATGCCTAGAAAGAGAATCCAAAAAGAATTATGGTGTTTCGTAAATAAATTATAGACAGTAGGCGAGGGTAGAGTTATGAAAAAGACCATATTTATTGAATAAAACCATAGAAAATCTGGGCTTATGGGGCGGGGCCTAAAGTGTTTACATACATTCCACACTATTCAAAGTGACCCCAGAGTGGACAATTGTGTATTGTTTTAAATGACATTGCATGCGTTTTCCACCCATATGAACCTGACTTTAAACATTACATATTAATTAATATTAAGAGAATACAATACAATAATAATAACGAACCTATCATGTTTTTAATTGGGGCCTTGGAAGGTCACTCAGGACTCTGGTACAGGTACATTAATGGAGACTACGTCACCAATAAAATAAATACCGCCACTAAACTTCTTTAGGGTCTATTCTTGTCTGTAAACATAGAATGGTACATTGTCAAAACTAAAAGTCACCCAATAAATTCACCATTTTTAATTGAAACCAAAGTTATCGGAATTTCACGCTGTAATTATTTTCGACAAACTTGTAGCCAGAGCCATACAAAAGTTTGCTTAGGTAGACAGACATTCGCTTTCTGCTCCCACTCCCTACCAAGTGCATGCTGGGTAATGCTCAAATATTGAATTGCTCTTTGCCTATTTTTCACTATTTTATTTATTATATGATTATTTAATTTATTTTTAAAAATAATTTTATACATTTCTATTATTTTGATTTCAAAATAATGGGGTTAACATGCAATTATCAAATGGAAATTTCGTTTTGAAGATCTAGATTATTTTGAATGTCCCGCCGTCACTGACAAGAGACATTTTCAATCCTAAAATAATTTTAAAAAATATTTATATCTCTAATCAAAGAATGAAAGCTTTAATTTTAATAAATAAATATGTATCTCCTAAGCATAAACAACAAATATCAATAATAATTTTCAGGTTAGTAGTTATTTTGTTCACTGCCGATTTTTTAATTTAAGAAACTACTCTCATAAATAAATATCAACTGTGCATCTTCTATTCAAATTTAAGCATTGCTCAACTTTTTCAAGTTGTAGGTATATCACAGAATAGGGTATATCATATATCATTAGAAAAGTTTCCAAAATAAATTTTTTCCACACATGTCTTTTTAGTTTTTTCGATTTAAGAATGAAAACCTCTTGCGGCCGACCAAACAGTTCAAAGTTCTCTGTTAAATCACTGATTTTTATAACTTGTTTATAGATGTCGCCGCGAACACTAAATTGCAGATATTTGATTCTATGATCCAAAAGATGGCGGTAGATGGAACCAGAAAATTAAATAAATTAAAATTTGCCTCTTTTATTTATATCGGCTATCAGCATCGAAATGCGTATTTCTAAAATGAAATGCACGTAAGATAACGTTTCTATTTTTTATTGGTGGCAAAAAGAGCGGTCGCACTACAATAAATAAAGTTTAAGCGATATGAGGGAACAACACCTCCAGTCTAGTTTTATAAGTCTTGACCAATCGGCGCACGCAGCCAGTGGCAAGCAGGACGATGAGAGATTGACGTTTGTCAAAGTAGTCTAACCTCTTGACCTAACTTTATCTTAAAATTGGTGCAAAATTGTTCTGAATTGAAGAATATGTAAAAACCGTCCTTGTCCTGCGAGTTGACTGTGAAAGTAGAGAGTTTTCGTTTTATTGGCAAATTCGAACGGTTAACCATAACGAATACGAATACGAAGCCGCTATTGCTATTTGACAGATCTTAAAAATAGTTTTCGTTCAATTAGGTTCTCCAAACCACGTGATTATTCAATACGGCGGCTGAGGAAAAATTGATGTTTTTGGATTTGGAATATTTTCGAGCTAATTACAGTTTACTGTGTTATAATTATACGTTTCGAGATGCAGAGTGAATATTCAAAGACTACAGTGACTCTATTGCCACAGTGGCGACAATTGCCGTCTCATTTTTGATTGGTTCTTTAAAATCCTATGTATTCATCTTTGAATATAAAACTCTTCCTCTAGTTTTATATTCGTCGTTTTCTATCTGTCACTACAGTCAACGCATTGTCGGAAACGGCCATATTGAGCCTCCAAGTACGACTCATCATTTGTGCTGGTGGTTGGCTGTATCCTCATTAAACTGGATGTTTAATGCATTTTAGCGGTTTTAAGTGATAATGATAATAAGCACTGGGATTAGCGCGGAAAGAGTGAGTCATAATATTGACAATCATATTTGTTAGGGCCTCTAACTGAGGTGTCAACATTGAATTTAGGGATAGATCACTGGATCATAAAGGGGATGGGGACGTCACTGCTAAATAATGCACTCACACTTCCAGTTTTATATCTCTCTATTGTTGCCAAAATAATCGTTTAATAAAGTAATAAATACTGTAACCACATTCAAGTACTTTTAATTATTCACAGGTTAGTTAACAAGTCGCATTTGAGTTATTCGAGAACATTCACTAATCGGTATAAATTCACTAGTTGCAAAGTGCTCAATAGTCAATTTAACAATAATTGTCAGTATTAGCAGAACGCTAATATTTTAATTGAGAGCACAAGATAAAGTTTATTCTTAATAGAAATCTTCGGGAGTTGAGAGTTTTTATATTTTTAGAGAGCCCTTAAAAAAGGGGAGTGTGATTAACTCAATGTTTTATTTTTTTTATTTTTTTTTATTTTATTGGTACATCTTACAAACATCAAATAATATTGATAACAACATGCAAGAGATGCCTTAAATCTAATAAAATCTACTGCCTAGAGCTTACATTACTACAGCTATCACAGCTATTACAGACACTACAAATTAAAAAAAGTATAAAACAAGATAAATGGTTAACAAACAACAATAATACACCTATATAACGCTCTGTGTAGTTAACAACATTAGTAAAGTTCGAAAAGGGATTTAAGTTTTTTAACATCCACATTGCACATGTCAATATCATGCTTATTAATTAGTATATTGCACTTATGCTCTGCATTGACATGATTAGAGACCAATCAGACATATCACAGTGAAACAGATTAGCATTACTTATACGTAAATTTATCTTAGGAACATGGAATTTTATATAGTTAATGAAGGAACATGATTTATACTTAATATTATTGACCACATAATATATAAATAACACAGAATTCAGTCTACGCCTTATTTCTAGTGATTGAACATTAAAGATGTTAAGCATACTTTTATAAGATACAAGATGGGGATATATATTATACTTCTTATGGTATAGATATCTGAGGAAACGCTTTTGAACCTTCTCAATTTTATTGATGTTGCATTCTGCCTCTGGTGACCAAACTACACTGGCATATTCAAGGTGGGATCGAACTAATGCGCTGTATAATCTTATGACTGTATCAACATGTTTAAAGTGTTTCGTATTTCTGATGACAAAACCTAAAGCACGGTAAGCTTTACTGATGACATAATGGTAATGATCATTAAATTTCAGGTTGCTTTGAAAATTAACCCCTAGATCCTTACATTTATCCTTTCTTTGCAGTGGTACATTATTTATATTGTATATGTGGTATTTATAAAATTAATTTTTCGGGTATAAGTAATGACCAGACACTTATTGATATTAAGTATCATATTGTGGTCCAGAAATCAACAAGCCACAGAATCCAGGTCACATCCTGCAACTTTATACAGTCCTCTTGACAAGTTATCGTTTGAAAAATTTTGAAATCGTCAGCAAAAATTAAGCTTTCAGAGTATTTAATACAATCAGGCAAATCATTTATAAAAATATTGAAAAGCAAGGGACCAAGGTTACTACCTTGCGGTACCCCTGATGTGACTGAAAAAGAGTCAGAGTGGCAGTTTTCTATTTTGACAGTCTGTGACCAGCCCTCTAAGTAAGAATTAATGAGTTTTACGCGATATTATATCACTTGAGTTTTCAAGCCAGCAGCCAGAGAGATAACAAAATAAGTCTTTTTATTTAGAGAGCGAGAGAGAGACTGCACAAGGGTGCAACTAGAGAGAATAATTAAATAATTAGAGAAAAGTGAGCAGGTTCAAACTTGTATAGAGCTAGACGTTTTTACGCACTATTTACTGCTAGTGAAACCACACTACTAAAATCACAAATCACACTGCGAAGTGAAAAAGAGAAGGAATGCATTTTTTCCCTTAGCGACAACAAACCAGACTGGATCGATCCAGTACAGCCTGGTACGGCGCCAGCGGCCATCGAGCTTTCACGGCGGGGGGCTTTTTTGCAACGTTGCCACTGTGATCATAAAAAATAAATAGGATTGTTTGGCTGTTTCCACAACAATATTTAAATAAATATACGCCACTGCCAAACCGAAAACACTAGTCGGCCATATGCAACCTCCATATAAGGCAATCCAACGACCTGTCAAAATGAAATTCAAAATGGAGGCCAATGCCTTTTTATTTAAAAAAAAATGCCGTTTTATTGCGATTTTGATTTGTATAAAGTCTGTAAAGTGTTGATTTTTTGGAAAACGCATACGTTATGTATTGTAGGTACTTAGTTGTGGGAGCCGTTCTAATCGCGAGAAAGTCTAGTTTCATGCCGTTCCTGCAGAGACAAAACACAGGTTTTTAACGGAGAAAAATGATTTGTATGTACTATGTGAGGGCTTCATGGATTGTAGCAAAAGAGAAAAAATCTTACGAAATCCATATTAAAAAACCAAAAAGTCTCTCTACATAAATGGTGTATGGATCCAAGCCATTTACTATCCTCCACATCAGCTTGTGTCGATACCTTGAATAGCAGACAAATAAAATAAACATCAGGATTCAGGATTTGGTTAAGAAAAAACTAAACAGGAAATAAATCCTGGATAGTACCTACTTAATTGTTTAGTAGGTATTTGTTTGTCACAAAGAAATCATGACTTTTGCAATCATCCGGGTTTACCACTACTTAATAATTTTTTAAACTAACAAGTTTCCATCTTAAAATACGAAAATTATCCTTCCAAACACTAGAAAATCATCTAAAAACACCACAAAATACACAAAAAACAGTTTTTTGATGAAAAATGTCACGGTTGTTTGAATTAAATTTATGGCGCCAATTTTTTGGCATTGACTATGCATTGACCGCCATTTTGTTTGGATTGCCCTATATTCTGATCGCGCAGATTCGACGTTATGCTCCTTCCTGTATAGTTTTATATTCAAAGGTATTCATATGGAAAACGCCGCCATTTTGTTTTTGAATTTGAATTTGCATATTGCAGGTTTTAGATTTTGGAGACTAAATATGTCAAAACCAAAACCAATTATAGCGGAAAAATCATCAATCGGGCAAACTGTTTCTGTACATTAGGAAAACCGTTGTATTTTCCAGGTAAAAGGGGGAGAACTTAGAAGCCATCTAAAAAATCCGGTCAAAAAATCTAGGAGATGGAATATAGTCAACCTTCTAAAAAAATGATGCAGTTTCGCATCCAGAATGCCACAATTCATATACTGGAGATCGATTCAGGAGACTTAAAAAAAAAAACTACAGAAAAAGAACGAAAGTCAAAAAGGCGACCAAATTGAGAACCTTCATCGTGACAGGAAGTAAAGAACTCGCTCTGC